TAAATACCTCAGCGTGCATTTTTATTGAGGTGCCGAATTTCCATCTGATGCAATGCATGTACTTGGCCAACTCATGCTCGTGAGTAAGCCAAACCTCCTACCAGGATACAGGACATTGTCATCACCCCAGAAAGTTCCCACGCGCCCCTCTGGCTGGACTCCCGCCCTCACTGCCTCTCAGAGGCAACCTCTGCCCAGATGTTTTGTTCTGTTGGGGGAAGGGAGACCTCTAGGAGCTGCTGTGGTGCCCACATCTGGGGTGGGGGCAGGGCATAGGGAGGGGGGAGGGGCTCTGCTGGGGAGAGGGGAGTGAGTGCCGGCTGAGGACAGTGGCGCCATTTACAAAGGCAGGAGGGGACAGGTCTCCCTTGGAACAGAAGCGTCTGGAGTGTGTGCAGGACCCCTGTCTGGCAGGCGAAAAGACGCACGTGTGTGTCAGAGGCTTGCGCCGTCCTCTGGCAAGGCGGCCAGGGGAGTGGCCGCGTTTCTCTGGCTTTGACGCCCTCCCCAGCCCAGCCCTAGTGCTCAGAGGGCCCCTGCCACCAGCAGGAGGGCCACTCCCCGGCTGTCCCAAGGGAGGCCACACCTCTGCTTTCCCCAAGGTGGGCACCCCTGCGTGGGCACCTAGATGGCGCAGGGTGTGGGTACCTCTGGTGTGCGGGGCACAGACAGGAGCCCCGTTCTGGGGGGAGCAGGGGGGCAGCGTCCACCTGCCCCCCTGCCCCCTCTTCTCTCGTCTTCTCCTTCAGCATCCGTAGGAGCGTTCCCTTCCCTGTCCCTGCACCACTGCCCCCCTCCTCCCTTCCCGTCTTGGCTGCCAAAAGCCCCTCCAGGGAGGAGGCCAGCAACTCTGTGCTCCCTGGGAGGGGACAGCGGGAGCAGGGACAAAAGGGGGAGCAGGGACCCATGGCCAGGCTGCAGCTGGGCTTCCTCTCATGTGCCTCAAATCATCATGGCACAGAGGACTTTCGTTCTCCAAACCCATCTGGTCCACTGGAGAGACTCCTGGTGTTTGCATTAGTGGGACTGGGTGTTATCCAACTCGCTGACCTGATTCTCCCAAGAGAGAACTGGCCCGCATGCAGAGTTGAGGCACAGAACACCTCGGATTTTATCTGGCAATTTGGAGAAGCCTCCGTTTACCCCATCCGCACAGGGCCAGAGACTGGGTTAGTGTAGAGGGAGGAGCAGAAGTCACCTAGGAGGGGACATCAAGAAGAAGAGAGGGACCCTGGAGAGCACCCCACACTGAGAACTGGAAAGGGGAAGTTGGAGATGGAGAAGGAAACCCCGAGACACCATCAGGTGCTGCTGGCATTTGGAGGTTGTGGGGAGGGAGCCGAACAGAAAGTGGGATTAAATAATAAGGACTCCTTCCCACGTTCTAGGCCTGGGTGAGGGCTGAAGTGCAAACAGATACGTCCGTATATGAGGTGAAGCACTAGCTGCTGTGACGAGCAATCCCCCAAATCTCGGGCGGCTTACTAGTCCTTACCAGTGACTTCACAGGTCTGGTTACGTGTGCCTCACAGTCCAACGCAGGCTGGGGCAGGGCTCTGCTCCACACAGTGATTCAGGGACCCAGCTCCATCCCCAGGGACCTCGAAGACCTTGGGTCCCTGCATACCCGGCAGGCAAACATTGAGAAACAGTTGATGAGTGTGAATGAAAGATTTTATAATCTCCTGGACATGTGAGAAAGGGGAATAAAATGTCCACGCAAATGACGTCTTTAGATCCCACAGAGCATGTGGTGCACACTCAGTACTTGTTCTATCTCTTCGGGTTGTCATTCCCCAGGTGAGTTCATCTGGGGGCGGGGACAGGCGAAAGGAGCCCGGGGAGGGTGATCACTCCTGTGAGTCCGGGTCTGTGATGATCAGAAAGGCATTATCAACAATGGGTCGTTGGAACTTGGAAAACGGTTGGAGAGTTAGGGCGACAAGAATGTACACGGAATATTCACCTGCAAAGGAAAACCTGCGAAGATCAATTTGGCCGGGTCAGAGGTATTCATGACCCACGCTGATCATGGATGAGGTTGGAACGCGGCTCAGGAATGACTTTGAACTTCGGAATTTGGGCAGCTCTTCAGGAAGCCCTGAGGCCTGGCTGTGGCTGTGGCTGTGGCCTGGGGTGGGGTTGAGGGAGGGTTTCCTGGCCATCAGGGATGGCTCCGCAGGGTCAGTTAAAATTAGTCTCAACGGCCCAGCATGGAGAAGCCAAAGGGAAACAGTTGGGCCAGCTCATGTGGCCACCAGCGTTTGCTTCTCTGGGGACTCTTGGACATCCTCTTTTGGACTGGGGGGAGGGGGCATCTCAGAATGGGGGCCTGGCTGTCCCAGGATTTCTGCTCCAGGCTGTGGGAGCAGCCCTCTAGGTTTTGACTTTGGCAGCCAGAGTGGGGTGAGGGCAGTTTGGCCCAACTGCCCCGTCAGCCTCTCCCGGGCCACGTGGACCTGGAGGGGTCTCCTCTCCACCCTGCCAGCCCCTCCTTCGGCGGGTCACGGACTCACTTCGTTCACCTCTGAGGCAATATTCAGCATTGTCGTTGCAAACTGAATAATTGGTGCACATTTAAAAAATGCTGTGTTACTCAGCGGGCTCAGTCCAAGGCCTCAGCCCACGTCCTCCCCTCCCTCCCACACATGCACCAGGCCCCGTCTTGAGGAGCAGACAGCGCGGTGGTGCCCGGGGCGGGGAGGGGCACCCGATGTACTGACCCCTGAGCAGGAAAGACCCCTCTAAGCCCACCCCACCCCACACAGATAGCAGTGGGGTTGCTGTCAACAGCGGGCAGTACGGCAGGTTTGAGTCTTTGTGGTCAGCGGTGCGACTTCGAGCAGGCCACCGGACCTCTCCTTTCTCAGTTTCCTCCTCCACCGCACGGCAGTCATAACAGCACTTGCCTCGGAAGGTCTGGTGTGTGGGGAGGAAGAATACCTGAAAGTGCGCCTGGCTCAGAGTGAGCCCTCAGTGTGTGAACACGCTCTTGGTTTCAGTTATAGCTGAGAAAGAAACCACGTGTTTAAAAAGAAACCACTTAAAAAAAACTGAGCTGAAATGGCTAGATTTTGACCCTGTTATACAATGAGTGTGAAACTGATGGACTGGGAGGCCCATGAGAGCAGGCCGGCCTGGTACGCGGCCAAGTTCATGCTGACAATCAGAGCTGCGCCAGCCACCTCGGCGCCACACCCTGAGCACGCGTCCTCCCCCCAAAGGACGTCCAAAGGGCGCTGGGCTGGCTCTGCGTCCTTTGCAAGCCTGGGCTCTTTCGGTTGGTCCCCCAAACACCTTCAGCAGGAGGTGCTTGACAAATACTTGTTGAATAAGGAAGTGCCCACTGGTGGGAACCAGGTGGATAAGGGATGGAGAAGTGCTTTGGAAACTGTAAAGTGCGTAGCATATGAGGATGCAACACACTTAGCGCTGCTCCCCGAGGGTCTAGCGTCCCATTCTGCTGCTGGCTGAGCTGCAGGCCTTGGGGGAACGTGCCCCGGGCCTGTGGCTGCGCCACTCCAGTCTCCACCTCCGACTTCACGTGGCCGCCTCCCGCCCCATGAGTCTCTGTGTCTGCTCTTCTGTCTCTTCTAAGGACTCTGTCCTTGTATTTAGGGGCACCCTGAATCCTGGATGACCTCATCTTGAGATCCTTAGTGTGATGACATCAGCCAAGAGCCTATTTCCAGACAAGTTCGCATTCACAGGTGCTGGGGGGAGGATGCGGATGCGTCATTTTGGGGTCACCAGTTAACCCACTACAGATGGAGAAACGCAGGCCCCGGGGCAGGAGGGATTTACTTAGGACCCTGCAGGGCAGCCAAGGGACAGCCTGGTCCCCCGATACTGGGGGGGAGCTCTGTCCCAGCCCATGCTGCCCTGGGCCCCCAAGATTCTCTGGGAAAGTCTTCAGCGAAAAACCATCTGGACCTCATCTGGGCTTGGAGGAGCCCACCCTTCCTGCACAGAATGGTCGGGAATGTGAAGGTGGGAGGGGATCCTTTCCCCTCTGGCTGCATGCCTGGGGCCGTGGCTGCCTGTGCTGGCTCTCCCCGCGGCTCCTGCCTCGGGGTCCACGCTCCCATTTCCTTCTCCACCGAGGACAGGGGCAGCTCTGGAGACCTGGAGGCCGTCCTGGTCCCTGAGGCTCCCAGGATGAGGGAGACCAGCAAGGGAGGCCCGGATGGCGTGGCTGCCTGGCTGGCCAACTCCACCGGGAGGACAGCCTCTGTTCAGAGCATCCTCAAGTGTGGGAGGCCCAATGCCAGCTCCGGAGAGGCCCCTGTGAATCCCAGCTCTGTGGCCCACCAGCCTGTTGGTCCTGCTCACAGTGCCCGGCCCCCTGCAGAGCCAAGACCAGCTGAGTGGCTCATGCCTCTTGCACAGCAACAGCCCCTGTGTGGCCTCAGGTCACGTCAGGCCAGAGAGAACATGGGACTTGTTCTCATGTTCCCATGTTCTCAGAGGCAGGTAACTCTGAGCAAACCACATGGCACATGGTCCCTGCTTGCACACACACGAAAGTGTCAGCCCCCGACTGTGCGATCGGCTCATGCCCGCAGACACGGACTCCAGACCAGGCTCTGCCATTCCTCAGCTGCAGGGACACTGGCCAGTCACCGCCCACCCTGAGGTCTCAGACTCCTGGTCTGCAAACTGGGTGCGTAGGGACCATAGCGGTGTCTCTCAGATCAGGGGGCCAGAGGTGTTTGGGAGACTCCGACTTCAGGGACCTTTGGACAGGTGCCGACACTGCGCACTGCGGGCACCTGAGTGGCCGCTCCACCGAACACGGTCAGTATTTCTGCAGAGAGACCATGAACACTCAAAGTAAGTGGCATATGTCCGACCTTCAACGGCTCCTTTCCAGGTCAAGTTTCACCACTCGATGAGCATGCAAACGAAGTTTCTGCTTTCAGAGTGTTTTGCATTTCACAGTTCAGACAAGAGGCATCGAGCTTTAGCATCGCCACCTCCGAGGGTAGGACAGATGTGGGACGACGGTCCTCACAGCTGCCCACGGCGGGGTTGCTGGGTGCTGGACGCACACAGGGTGCTGCGCGGTTGGCTCACGGCTCCTCGCCACAGCTCTCTGCCACCAGAGCTGCTTTAATACGCATTTCACAGACGGGGAATCCAGGCTGAGGCGCCAAGTGTCCTGCTCACCCTATGGTCCTTGCGTGATGAGTGACCACCTGTCCCTCACAGCCCTCTGACTGGTCTCTCCACCCACTTCCTCCAATATCTGCTGGACAAAGAAGCAAAAACGAAAGTGAACATAGAAGGCCTTTCTTGGAAAGCTCTGTTTTCTCAGAAGAGGTGGTGCCTGCCGTGTGGTCCCACACAGTATATATTGCTGCTCAGAGCAGAGCAGCAGAGCTGGGGACTTGGCCCTGGGCAGCCACACCGGCTGGAGACTCCCCACTTTCCTTTGTCCCCTGCAGGCCGCTGCTCAGCCTCCTTCGTGCCGGACCAGAGGCTCCCGGAGAGGCAAAGACAGAACACGTGGACCCTTCCTCTGGTTCTGGACCTGAGGCTGCAGTTAGAACAGGTAGGACACTGCACAGGACGGGGGGGGGGGGGGGGCTGCTTTCAGGCCCCTGGAGGGCGATGTGCCCCAGAGGTCGGCTACAGAAGGGGAGCTGTTGTCAGGGCTGGCCAGGGGTTCAAATTCCCATCCTGCCAGGGACTAACTTTGTGAGCCTGCAAAAGGTCTAAAGTTCACATTTTTTACTGCCCCATCAGGACAAAAATCTCTGCCTCATAGGCCACTTGAAATTTAAATGGAAACCTGATTAAGAGTATGGTGTGACCCACCAAGTGGCATCTCCCCTGGCCACCATGGCCAGGGACCGAGGGCCCTGGAGGCGGAGGGCCTGGCCCCCAGCGTGTGGGAGATTTCCAGGCCTCGGGCATTTCCCTAGACGTTCTCTGCAGAGAGGCTGAGGGCTGCTGTCTTTGGAGGACAGGCTGGGTGGCGGGGCTTGGCAGTGCAAAGCCAAGCCCCAGGGTGATTTCAGACGAAGCCACCTTTTCTTGCTTAGACTGTGTGTGTGTCGGGGCGGGGGGGGGGGGGGGGTTGAGTTGTTTGTGGGGGAGGAGCCCTTGCAGATCGCCAGGGACTAAAGCCCCCCAAGCAGGCACACAGGGACCGTCAGCAATAGGAGCCCTCAGCCTTGGCAGGTGTAGCTCAGTGGATTCAGTGGTGGCCTGTGAAGCAAAGGGCTGTTGGCCCGATTCCCAGCCCAGGGCTTGTGCCTGGTTTGTGGCCCAGGTCCCCAGTAGGGGGTGCAAGAGAGGCAACCACACATTGATGTTTCTCTTTCTTTCTCCCTCCCTTCCTGTTTCTCTAAAAATAAGTAAATAAAATGGGAGGTCTCACAGCAAGTAACTGCTCGTCCCTCCATCAGTTCCACTGTGTCCTGTCACATCCACAGAGGTCAGCAGGGAGGGGACCGGTTCCGACCAAGGAGCTCCCTGCCATCACCCTCGCACCGCTGCCCAGGACAGTCCTGTCACAAGGGCTCCTTGCGCCGCCCTTGGCCAGACACAGGCAGCTCCCCGCTGCTGGGACGGGGCTCTCGCTGCAGCTGCCACTTTCTGAATCTCTGCTTCCCACCTGTCTCTCGTCAGAAGTGCGTGTAGCTGGATTTCACTTTCTGACACAACCTATGAGTCTTTTCCTTTGGACAGAGGATCTTTACCCCGTTTATAATTCTGAGAAATGCAGAAAACGCTGTCCCATAATTTTTATGGAGGTAGGCACTTTAGCAGTTACTTCTTAGGTAAGTGAAGGGAAACTGAGAGAGTTTTCTAGAAGCCACAGAACTGGTAAGTGATGGAGAAGAGCCCTGATCCACTTGACCAAGCTGCCTCCACACTGACTCGGTGGCCGGCTCCTCCTCCAGCCCGTGAGACGTCAGCGAGACGCCCTGTCCTTCCCAGTGTGGGAAAGGGCAGGGGCGTGCTTTTGAACACTGCGACCAGAGACACCTCAGGTCTGCTGAGGCCAGGGCTCCTCCATCCTCGCCTTTTTAATGGAGGTCAACACAGAATCCAGTAAGTCTCAGTGAGGAAGGACAGAAAGCAGAAGGACCCAGGACACTTGAAAACACAAGGACACATACGAGGACACACAGAAACATGGCGCCACACACAAGCATTCCAGCAGCTGCCTGTCCTCTCTGTCCTGGCTTCACTGCTGGAGTGTCCAGGGCTCCGACCTGGCCCCCTCTTGGCCTTTATTGCTGTGTCCCAAGGGCTCACACGCAGTGCTGTGGCTTGAACTACATACACGGACGGCTCCCAGATGTAATCTCCCAGCCAGGGCCAGGCCCACCTGTCCACTGCCGACTCCACGACTCTGGACATGTAATCGGCTATCTCAAAGCAGAACCCCCCCTCGAACTGAGCTCTGTACCTGCCCAGAACACGTCCTGCCCGTCTCAGCAGCTGGGATCCTCTCTGTCGAAGGATCCCAGCTGCTGAGGCAGGCAGAGATCTGATGCGTCCCAGGGTCGCCCTTGACCTCACGTGCTCCCCCATCCCACAGGCGCTGACAGGCCCTGTGGACTTCTTCCAGCCCCGCTGTTCTTGTAACTCCTACCCACCGGGTGCAGGCAGCGGCCTCTCACTCTGACCACTGAGACAGCTTCCTGACAGGTCTGCCTGTTTGCTCTCTTGCAAACCTGGAGTCTGTTTTCCAGCCCGAGCGATGGACTTCACACAGGAGTGAATCAGGGACTCCAGCCCATGGGGCACCTTAGGGCTTACATGAAAGGGCCCGCCCACGAGTGGGTTGGCTGTGTGAACACACTGCTCCACAAATGGATGGCGCCTGTGTGCAGTCTATCACTAGTCGACGCATCACAACGTCCCCCTCCACACAGAGGCGGCACCGCCCCCTTCCCTGGCCCCCAGACGGTCCCACTTGGCGAGAGGACTCTGGGATGTGTTTCGGGGCCCCAGCAGTAGGCTCGGACGGGGCCACACTCATATGGTCTGGGAATATAGGCTGGACTTAGGGCCTTATAAATTGTTGCCTTGGGGTGGGATCAGCGGTGGAGGTGGGGATGGCTGAGGTCGGGGGAACAGGGTGGGAATGGAGACAATTGTGCTTGAACGGCAAGAAAAAAAAGACCAGAAAATCTTTAGATGAAAAAAATTGTTCCTGGTCTCGTGAAGATGATCTTTTAGTCATTTATAATCAATTTGTTTAGGATGGTCACAGGCTAGAAAGAACCCAAACATTATCAACTGATAGAAGAATAGGTAAACAAATGATAGTGTATTTATATGATGAAATACTGCATAGCAACCATTTTAGAGACATTCATACGAAGTTCAAGAACAGGCGGACTGATCAGGGGCTACAGAAGCCAGGATCAGGGCTTCCTTGGGGCGGGGAGCGTGGGGACTGAGAGCAGTCACAGGACCTTCTGGTCTGCACCTCGGTCAGGGTGGACCCCGTCAGGGTTCCCACGTGTCAGCATTCACAGACGCCGTGCAGATGCCAGCCTGTGTGCCAGCTGCACCTCGGGATGAAACGTGAAAACGATAGTTTGCAAATATTTAACACATCAGAGATTTTCTCAATCGTTCTGATTCCCCATATCTACTCAGTCTCTGCACAACTGAATTTTGTAAGGTTTCGTGATTCCTGCAGTGACCTTGTTTTCATGTTTCCAACCAGAAACATGGGTTGGACTCCCCAGGATTGGACTGCTGGGGACGCCTCTGACTCTCCCATGGACAAAATATACGAGGATTTGTGGTAAGAATGCAAGGCTGGTGTTGGTTTGCAGAGGTGATTCAGAGGGTTCTGTCCCTGGGGAAGGGCTGCATCTGCAGAAATGCTCTGGTAGTATGATCATGTGCAACTCATGTGTTCCGAAGGTGTCACTCTCGACTCGAGCCTGTCCCCCACTTAGGAAGGCATATTCTTCTGGGGGAAAAATACTCCACCAGGTAAACTAGATATTTTGGAGAGCACGTCAAGATCTAATCAGGTGCATGACGTTGAGCAACGGGACTGACCCTAAGAATATAACTTGTCCCACTGCAGGGAGTCGGGGGGTTAATTCTGTGAGGCACATGAAGCAGGAAGTCAGTCTTCCTGGCCCACGAGTCGCCAAGAAAACCGCGTGGCCTTGTTGCTGCGTTCGCGAATGAAGCCCAGTTCTCTGTGGGTCAGCAGACGTAGCGTCACCAGCCTCCAGCACAACGTGACAGTTGGGAAGGGTTCTCAGAGTGATTTAGGTGTGTGTTTGGCTTGTGGAACCTGGCTGCAATGTGACCCTAGGTCACTGGATGTGGTGCAGGATGGACTGGGGCCCGAGCATCTGCACTGGAGGCCTTTGGTGTAAACACAGGAAGCCGAGCTCGCCTTTGCCCTCACCACGTTAAAGACAAAACCCGAGAATTCGTGCAGCGTGGTGTTGTGCATACTTGCAAATCCATATCAGTTGTTGTTTCTTGGTCCCTGCACACCTGGGAAAAGCAGAGCTGAGGGTAGGCTGGGTGGTGGCACCTGCCGAGGTCCGGGTTCTGAAGCGGGCTCTTCCTCATCACCCAATGACCCGCCCCCTTCCCCACTGCAATCCCCAGCAACCTTCTGCTTGGCAAATCGATTTACAGCAGCTGATTAATTGATTATGGGCTTATAGTCATTCATTAATTCATTCACTCATGCTAAAGGGTTTCTTGGTGGCAGATTTCGTTTTCAACCTTTTCCATAGAGGAAGTGTGTGTGTGTGCGCAGAGAGAGGTACTAAAGGGTATGTCTACATATATCTGCCCCAGGGAGGGATTCCTGAGCAGTGGACATACTCCTGGTCCCGGGGCCGGTGCCCCATTCAAAGCCCCAAGTCTGTGGGCTTCCATTCTCTCCCCCCAAAATGAAAGCAGGCAGCTCAGATCCTCTCCGGGGTTCATTTCAGCTCTGACACTCCTCTCTGAGCCAGGGAACCTGTCCCCACCAGCCTCCCGATCTCACCCTGAAGAAAATATAGGGGGAAAGTGTCCGAAGGCGTAGGCTTTGCTCTTCGTGGTTACTGCTCTCCTGTGAAAGACACACTCGGCCAGGCTGACAATGGTCCCTTCATACTTCCTACTGTGACATATTAGGGGAGGAAGGACCTGAGCCCCACGGTCCCTGGCTTTTTCCATTAAGACCAATCCAGTCTACTTGAGGGGCCGAGGAAAGCTTGCCAAGTGCCAAGGAGAACATTCAGAACATTAGTGATCATATTTCTCTGGGCCCTCTCGGGGTACCACTCCTGATAGGAGCAAAGACTCACATGGGAGCCAAAGTCAAGGCCGTGGAAGTGGAGGATGCACTCTACACTATGGAGCCGCCCTCCTCCGACTCACCTGTACATACTCAGAACTCCCAACTCTGCCCAACACCTGGGATCCTCTTTCTCCTACGTTGTGGGCCACACCTCTCCCTCCTTTAGTCCCAGGTCCCTGCTCTTGAATAGCGTCTCGGCATTTCCCCGCTGCCTCTTGTGGGACCTGTTGCTGAGTCTCTCTGAACAGCAAATGTCCGTGAGGACCATTGTCCCTTGTCCATCTCATTGGCCAAGGCTGTGCGTGTCCCATGTGTCCCTCCGGATGCCCCTGTTGCGTGTTTCTTCTCTTCACGGAGGCAGCGGCCCCCAACGACCTCTCGGACTGTTTACAGTCAGGTTGGAGGTAGCAGAGGGGTCAGGGAAGTGCAGGGGGGATTCAGAGCTGGGGTGGCAAGAACATGTGAACAGCACTTGGGCCTACGAATCTGGCTTCCCATAGGGGAGACTGAAGTCAACTCCTTAATTCCCTCGTCCACAGGGACAACGATGACATTCTTCTGGGCGAAGATGTGGAGCAAGAAGGTAGAGATCTGTCTGATGAAGAAAGACAATTTTTGAAAGAGTTTCCCATCTTTAAAGAGGAACTAGAAGCGGCCATCACTAACTTCCACGCCCTTGCAGACGAAATGGATAAAGCCCACAAAACATTCACCAAGGTCAGCATGGTGTCCAACACTGTCTCTGTCGTCGCCGATGTCATGGGCATCCTGGGTTTGGTCCTCGCTCCAGCAACAGCTGGAGGGAGCCTGATGCTTTCTGCTGCTGCTACAGGTTTTGGGACAGCAGCTGGGGCCGCCAGCACCATCACCGACATCTTGGAATACCTTCGCAAGAAAGAAATCAAAGCTCAGGCCAACATCCAAGTGCCTGACTCTGAGCACCACTTGGCCACGAATGTTGCAAAATCTGCCATTAAGTTTGGAACAAATGTCAGGAACATCGAGAAGAATGTCCTTGCCTTTCAGATAGCCAAGAACCACCCACGCCTGGCTGCAGCTGCCAAGCGTCTCCTGAACGCTGGCCAAGTCTCGTCCAAAACCCAAAAGCAGGTGCAGAAGGCCTTTGGAGGTACGACGATGGTGATGAAGCATACTACTCGCTTGCAGAAAAGTGGGATGGCCTTCTTCGCCCTTGGCATAGACTTGATGGCCGTCATGAAGAACAAGAAGGACCTGGAGGAGGGAACCACAGAGTTGGCAGAAGAGCTGAGGGCCAAGGCCCGCGATGTGGAGACAGAGCTGACTAAACTCACCAAGATCTATGAGCACCTGAAGCAAAAGGTAAGGCTGTGGCTTCCCTGGGGGTGGGGGGTGCTGGGGGTGGGGATGTGGAGCTGGAGTGCCTGGGCACCCCAGGAGTTATGGGAAGGGTGTTGAGGAAGCCATTGTGTGAGTGAAGTTTGTGTGGTCCTGAGGTCGTGGGGCTCTTGGAGAAGAAGGGCTGGTCCCAACCGACCTGGTCGTGCTTCTGTATCTCCCTTGATGTTCTCTGAGCTGCCTGCACTGGGGAGAGGGTCTTCCCAGTGGCACAGAAGACGACACTGAGCCACAGGGAGTGTCAGGGACTGAACTGTGTCCCCATGATATTCCTATGCTGAAGCTCTACTCCCCAGTGTGACTATTTGGAGATGACACTTTGGGGAGGTAATTGGAGTGGAATGAGGACATATGGGTGGGCCATAACCCTATGGGACCAGTGTCCTTATGGGAGAAGAGAGAAGCACATGAGGGGTCTCATTAATCCAGTGCCAGCCCAACTGAAAGGCCATGTGAGGCCACAGCAAGAAGGGGGACACCCGCAAGCTGGTGTCCTTGAAGGGAGTCCTGACCAGGGACCATACTGGCCGGCCCCTTGATCTGGGCCCTGCAGCCTCTGGAACCGTCAGAAAATACCTTCCCACTGTAGAAGTCTCCCAGCCTTCGGTGCTCTGTCACGGAGCCTGGGTGACCAGGACCAGGGAGCTTAGGCGACCTGGCCAGGCCCCCAGCCAGGTTGGGTAGAGTCAGGATGTCGAGCTGGGGAGCCTGACTTCAGGGCTCGTTCGGATCTACCTGCCGTGGGGCCCTGGGGCCCCAAGAGCTGTCCTTGATGGCTCTTTCTGTTTCTTGCAGGAATGGCAACGGTATTGGGAAAAAATACTCCAGTCGAAAAATAAGGACAAAGGTAGGCGAAGCCCCGGGGCCGCTGTTGGAATAAGGGGGACAGGGTGAGGTGGGCAAGGTTGGCAGAGGAGAGGCCTGCAGACTCACTAGCTGGGAGGCCTGCTGGGTCCCCAGGGCACTGTCACCTAGGAAGTGCTGTGAAGGTCCTTCTGTGCCCTCCACTGCCCCTCCGACCCACTGCCCATTCCTGGGTGATGATGGCCAGGGCGGGCAGGGGCGCTGTCTCAGGCACCTTGCCCCTTCGGTCCCCTTCCCTGAGTCCCACAGTCAGTCCGCACCACCGTTTCATTCTGGGCTCCATACTGAGTGCTGATGGCAGGACAGTGGGGTCCCAGACATGGAGGGTGTCACCTGGAAAATAATAGGCCTTTCGAAGTGAGTGGGAAACAACTGTTGACTGGAGATCACAAAGAAGGCCTGCTATGCCATCGTGGATTCAGGCAGAGGCCCAAATAACACACTGCAGGGGTGCGTATGAGAGTAAAGGCAGGGGTGTGTCCGAGAAAGGGGGGCATTTCCATCCACAGAGGGACAGCTTTTCTGCTGGTGCAGGTGACCAACACAGGATGCTGAATGCTTTGAATTATCAGGCCAGGGGTCACAGTCACTGCTTTCTCCGCATGTCTGTAAACAGCTTTTGGGCACCATGCGGAGGCCGGGTCCGAGGGTCATTACAACATCGCCCACCCTGGGGGCCCGAGTCGGGCCAAGCAGTGCCTCTGGGAGGGCAGCGGCGCCTCCACGTCCAGGTGGCCCCGGGGGGCAGGACTGTTGTGGTTAAGGTGTGGTTCCTTCTTGGACTCACTGCTGTGCTTCTCTGCTCTCTTCCTCCTCGGTTTACACAAAAGATCAGGTCTCGGACCCTCTCCACCCCTGTGGACCCCAAGACCCAAGATCTGGGAAGTCCTTTGGACGTCAAATCTTAGAAATATGTGCTTTTTTGGTTTTTGCCTCACTTTTATTTAAATGTTTTACTTATCTCTTATATAAGGCGATGTATTTTCTTAGTCTCGCTTTGTTTTGTGTTGCTGTTTATGTTTTAGCTACTTGCTTGACACAATGCACTGACATGAAATACAATTGTTTGAAATTTGGGAAAGGAAAAAAGGGGTGGAAATCATGCGCCTTCCAAGGGTGACAGCGATGGGTGCTTGGCATAGAGTTTTCTTCCTGTGCTTCTGGCAGGTTGGTGTGAACCCACTGACAGGCTCAAGGGGCTGTGATTGGCTGCCCCAGGCGCCCTGCATGGGGCTGCAGGACGACGAAACAGGTGTCTGTCCCCAGCCCCTGGGTCCCCTCACTCTCCCCCACTCCTTTGCCTGCAGACCGGCTACTTCCCCGCACGCTGCGTTCACGAGCAACACCTGCTGCCATTGGGTCCCCACTCTGTTTCCCTGAACACTGCGTCTTAGGCTGTGAAACATTCTCTTGACTGTACACGTAGTCTTTGCATTAGACGTCTATTCGTCACCACGTTATCAAAATCTAGTCACCGGGCCTAGGTAGAATTTATTGCCTCACGTGATGAAAGACCTAAGGGGTACAACAGGGCTTCAGCTGTGTCTGGAGCCAGAGGATAAAAATGATGTCACCAGGCTCCTGTCTCTCCATTTCCCAGACAGCATCCCCCAGGTGCAGGCTGATGGCCCCAGCACTCCAGGGTGTGCCCCTCCCACCTGAAAGGGGGCGGGGCAATGTCGCAGTCCCACTCTGATTGGTTAGGGCTGGGTCATGTGCCTTTGTCTGCCCTGGTTGCTGGGATCTCCACGCTCTGTGGTCTGAGCGAGGAGCTGGAAGCTGAACTGTGACTCCTGGTGCACTGTACACCCTCCCCCTGCAGGAACCCTTCGATCGTTGAAGCCTTCTCGGCGTACTCGAGGGTGAAATGAGTATGTGTGTGCCAAAAGCGTGGCCCATTGTTACCCGAATGCTTCCCTAAACTCACAGTCCCTGAACTCGGATACCTAAAATAAAAAAAAACGACTTCATGAAGGAAAAGGAGGACTCCCCCTCCTTCCACATACATTTGTTATACACGTGCAGGAAATTTGGGAAAGATTTTAAAAGTGGAGGGCAAGAGCCCCACTGTCAACATCAGGGGTCACAGCCGGTCTTAAGGCCTCGAGGTTTGGGTGCCTGCGACCCCACGCGTAGGCCGTGGTGTTTCCTGCTTCTTTCGCTCTCGTGTCTTTGTCGTACTTTGTCACAAATGCCACTGTAAGGAAAGAGCTCCCTCCACTTTTCACAGCGTTCTCTGTGTGTCTGAGTGTCCTTGGAGTCCCGGATAAACGCCACCAATAAAAATACACTGCACAAACGAGAGAGTCGTCCAGCTTGAGTTGTGTTGTTTTGTGACGTGTCTGGGAGGGAAACAAAGAAAAGCATGAACTAGGCAATGGAGATATGAGACTCATCTCTGAGGCTTATGTGCCTCGTGTCATTTCTGAGCTCTGGTTTGTTCAGCCAAGAAGTGGGTGTCATGTGAATGAAGTCTCCCACTCTACTGGGGTTGGGGCTCACAGTGACCCACTCAGAGTACTGGGAGTCTGGCAGAAAACCCCCTTGCCAGAGATTCAAATCCCTAAGAAAGTGCTGGAACCCCCAGCAGAAGAGGTGGGGAGGTCACTGTCCCTGCTTCTCCCCTACTCAGACTGTCTTCCAGGGGGGCAGCGGCGCTTGACCTGCCTGGTTTTCCCCCATCTCCCGACTCTTCAGCCTTCCCGACTCCCTGCCCAGGCAGCTCCTCCACCCGCTCCCTCCCTGCCAGCCTCCAAGCCCACGCTGCTCCCTGGGCCAGGGTCTACTTCTCTGAAGCATCGTCTCCTCCACCACCTGGAATTCTGGTGCACAAATGCCTTCACCTCGTCCTATCACCCCACTGCTCTAACCTACCCCCAGCCAAGGGAAGCCCCGTGACTCTCCAAGCTACTCAGGGTGCAGGAACCGCCAGCTCTGTTCTCCTCTCCCTTCTGGGTGCAGCTGGGTTCTTCCTGGGTGCCCCCCGAGGGGTGCAGACCCCTCCACCACGGTCAGTGGGAAGAGAGTTCTGAGAAGACGGTTCCTTCCCCCAGATGTTGTGTACACATCACTGAGATGAGGGAGACGCACGGGTCTCAGTGAGAGGGGCCCATCTGTTCCCTGATACCCCCAAGATACCACAAGCACCACAGCGTGAGGTTTTTCCAGAGTGTTAGACCTTCCAAAGTGGCCAGCAAATCTGTCCTGCCCATGAGGACTCCTGTGACCTCAGGTGGCCAACAGTGCTGCCCATGACCTGCCCCCCGCCCCACACTAAAAGCAAACTGGGGATCTCGGTCGCCACACTGCACACCCAAGTGGCTGGTGAAGGGGTGTGGGCACCGATGGAGGTTGACAAGGTTCGCTATCGGGTTCCTTAGCGCCTGAGGACCTATGGGTGTCTCAGGGGACCTCCCTGTGTCATTCTGTGTGTCCCGATCCAGCCCCGCCCACCATGAGCTTCGAGTGGCCCTGCATTGGCGATGAAATGCATGTTGTTGTCACCTGGAGGTCAGTCACACTCCCTTGGGTCTAAAATCTCGCTTTCAACCAAAAGCAAAAGGCTGCTGTGTTCCCGTCAGTGCTCAGGGCTACGTTCCAAGACAGGGCGTTGCGAAGCCCACACACCCTTTCTCGGTGTCTCAACAAAAGAAGACATTAGTACGTCAGTGCGATGGGCAGGAAGGCAGAGATATTCTTAATCCACGGTTACAATCCGGATGCACAAAATCACAGACACAACAAGGCTTCCTCTCTCTGATGGCCAAGATCACGTGGAGCAGGACTGTTCAGTATGCTGGCCAGTAGCCATGTGGCCACAGAGAATTCGAAATGTGGCGAGTCCAGTGTATGATGTGGGGTGAGAACAAAGGACCCACTAGACTATAAAGGTTAGTATGAAAACATACATAAAGTGTCTCACTAGTAATTTTCATAATCACTTATTTTTAATATATTTTATTGATTATGCTATTACAGTTGTCCCATTTCCCCTCTCTATTCCCCTCTGCCCTGCACACCCCCTCCCACCCACTTTCCCCCCTTTAGTTCATGTCCATGGGTCATACATATAAGTACTGTGGCTTCTACATTTCCTATATTATTCTTAACCTCCCCCTGTCTATGTTCTACCTATTATTTATGTTACTTATTCTCTGTACCTCTCCTCCTCTCTCCTTCTCTCACTCCCCTACTGAGAACCCTCCACATGATGTCCATTCTGTGATTCTGTTCCCATTCCAGCTGTTTGCTTAGTTCGTTTTTGTTTTTGTTTTAGGTGCGGTTGCTAATAACTGAGAGTTTGTTGTCATTTTACTGTTCATACTTTTTTATCTTCTTTTTATTAGATAAGTCCCTTTAACATTTCATATACTAAGGGCTTGGTGATGATGAACTCCTTTAACTTGACCTTATCCGGGAAGCACTTTATCTGCCCTTTCATTCTGAATGAAAGCTTTGCTGGGTAGAGTCCACCTGGATGCAGGTCCTTGCCTTTCATGACTTGGAATACTTCTTTCCAGCTCCTTCTTGCTGGCAAGGTGTCCTTTGAGAAATCAGCCGACAGTCTTATGGACACTCCTTTGTAGGTAACCCTCTTGTTTTCTCTTGCTGCTTTTAAGATTCTCTCCTTATCTTTAATCTTAGATAATGTAATTATGATGTGTCTTGATGTGTTCCTCCTTGGGTCCAACCTCTTTGAGACTCTGAGCTTCCTGGATTTCCTGGAAGTATATTTCCTTTGCCAGACTGGGGAAGTTCTCCTTCATTATTTGTTCAAATAAGTTTTTTAATTTCTTGCTCTTCCTCTTCTCCTTCTGGCACCCCTATGATTCAGATGTTGGATGTTTAAAGATGTCTGGAGGTTCCAAAGCCTTTCCTCATTTTTTTTATATGCTCACGCTTTCTTGTTTCTTCATTCTGTTCTGGTTGAATATTTCTTTCTTCCTTCTGGTCCACACCATTGATTTGAGTCCCGGTTTCCTTCCTGTCACTCTTGGTTTCCTGTACATTTTACTTTATTTCACTTAGCATAGCCTTCAGTTTTTCCTCCAATTTGCCACCATATTCAACCGGTTTGTGAGCATCCTGATTACCAGTGTTTTGAACTGTGCATCTGATAGGTTAGCTATCTCTTTGTCACTTAGTTGTATTTTTTTTCTGAAGCTTCAATCTGTTCATTCATTTCAGCCATTTTCTTTTGTCTTGGCACACCTGTTATGTAGTGAGGGGCAGAACCTTAGGTGTTCTCCAAGATAGGACAACCCACATCACTGTCCTGTGACGCTGCATGTGGGGACGGGTCTGAGTAGGAACAGTGCTGCTTGCTCCACTCTCCTCAGGTTTTCAGTCACTTCCCCTGCTTCCCACAAGCAAATTGGGCCCTTCTGGTGCTGATTTCCAGGTGGGTGGGTTTGCGTATGTTCTAGGACCCTATGGGTCTCTCCAATGAACTCCCCTGTGAGTCTGGGAATTTCTCTGCTGCCACTGCAACCCCCAAGGTGTTTTCAGTCAGAGGTTTTGAGGCTTTATTTCCCTGCACTGGAACCCTGGGCTGTGCAGTCTGTCTTGCTCCCCAGTTGTTCCTCCCGGTTTGTTTGCCTGTGAATGTGGGACCACAGAGTTCACAATCTTTCACCTCACCAGGTCTGCCAGCCACCACCGTGCCATGAGTCCTCTCTGCCCAGCTGCCATGTCCTCCTCTCCGACCCGTCTGGATGAATGTTTCTTCTTTCACTCCTTGGTTGTCGTACTTCCGTGCAGTTCAATGTTCTGTCAGTTCTGGTTGGATTTTGCTTTTAAATTTGTTGTTGTCCTTCTTTTGGTTGTGTGAGGAGACACAGCGTGTCTACCTACACCTCCATCTTGGCCGGTGATTTCCTTATCATTTAAATCACAAATTGAAGTGATGACATATTGCCTTAAGTGAAATATAATGTGACTATAGAAAATGTACCAAATGTATACTTCTATATGTGGCTTGCATTATGATGCCATGGGACGGCACGAATGTGGACAAAAGAATTCAGAAGATGAAGGGAACTTGAACGATGTGTTGGTGTGTGTGGGGCTAATGGGTAGCAGGTCTTCTTCTCCCACCCAAGCTTAGAACCAGTGGAGAAGAAGGTCAGGAGTCAGGCAGGCGGAGGTCAAAGTACCAGCCTGAGTGAAGATGTGGAAGGAAGTAGCTTCGGGTGGGCTGCTCAGGTGGGCTTGCTCCTACTTTGCTCCTGATTGAGATGGTCCCAGCCTTGCGGCGCGTGCCCCTTTGGACTGTGTCAGCCAGGCCTGCCCAGCTTTGGAGCACAGCATGCTGAGTGCTCTCAGGCTGCGGACCCCAAGTCAATGTCAGTTCCCTCCAGCCAACCTCCCACCACGGAACTCAATCACGCTTCCTTGGAGCTGGTGAGCGAGAGAAGGGGAGAGGTCAGGAGTGTTGTTTGGATGGAATCCTTCCACATGGACACAGCAGTGAGGAGTAAGTATCCTTCCAATACTGCCCAACCTTCGTTTGATGAGGCATTGAACTTACTGCTGCGTCAGTCACCTGCAGGTGTCAATCACCCATCCTGCAGAGCAGCCCCGCTCTCTGCCCCCCAGCTGCTCGTCTGTGCCGATCGCTTCTGCCGTGTGAATCGTGCCGGGTCTGCTGCTGGCCAGTGTAAAATGTGCCACCAAGAGGTTTCAAGATGGGTCAGATCGGAACAGTACGAACCCCAAGGTCTCTCTTCTCCCATTTCCCCTCCCACGTGCCATCGAGGCCCAACCAATAGAGCTCTCCAGAGGCTCTGCAATGAGATCGAGGCTTCGTGTAAACATATACACGCAGTCCAATAGTAAAGGGCCAATGAGAAGAAAGCCTTCATGGCACAGAGACTCCTTTGCATTGCACACTTCCCTGGGAGAAAGACTGAAAGTCAGTTTTCTGGCCAATTAAAGTTTAAGGGAATTAGTGAGAAATCAAATTGTGCTGTCCTCATGAGTTTAAAGTTCAAAGAAATAACATTGTTTTAAAGCCCAAAAGAATCAAAGTCCAAAATCGATTCCTCTTTTAGAATCCAGTGCAAATCATAACATTAAAAAAACCACAAACTTTTTCTTCGAAGTCTTATTTTGTCCAGTTTCTGCAAAATTTTTAAACCTTGGAGTAATTCTAAACACAGAGAAGAGTTCGGGAATGGTACTGTGAACACCCTGACTCAGGGCCAGGAAGACCCTGTCCCCATGCCAGGTGTCCACTCATCGCACCTGGAGCCAGGGTGCCCTGAGCACAGGGCCTGTGACCTTGGAGCTGGATGGGCCTTCCTGACTTTTCCTTCGCCCGTGGCTCCAGGTTGGGCTTCCTCATTGGAGGACGCACTGCAGGAGAAGGAGGTTCCAGTATGAACCCCCTCCCTCCTCCTAAGGGTGCTCAGCCCTGGGGTGGAACAGTGTGGGGCATCACCTCCAGGGAGTTCACCGTCACCCCTGGAGGCGATTTCCTGGCGAGTGCCTTTCGAACTCCGAACTCCGTGGAACCTCCTAGCTGAGGCTTTCCCGGAAGGTGGCTTCTGCCCACAGGCCCCTAGGGAAGTCCCCAGCAGCTCCCTCCACTTTGGGAGTTTTGCTGGCCCCACCCCTGGGGGCAGGTTCCTTCCACTGTGATAGCCTGCAGGAGCTCAGCAAAACACTCTGACTCCATTCCTTTTCTTTTAAAAAGTATTATTTGTAGCATCTACCACCCTCATCTGGGCGAAGAGGCCACTGTGTGTGTATCTGAACTCTCAAATCCGGGAGAGCCTGTGGGCTGAGCACAGGGAGGCCTGCCTTGAAACCCGTGGACAGGCCGGTGAACCCAGGGTCGTACCCTCTGTGGGTCCAGAAGGTAGGCCAAAACAATATTTTAAGAAGAGGAACAGAATTTTGGGCAGCTGAATGACCACAGCCTACGCATGCGTGGCGCAATGTTTTTAAAATTGGGTAAATGCAATTCTCCTTCTCTCTTTAAAAACTGCTATAAAATATACATACCACAAATGCACCATTCACACCACATCTGAGTGTGCGGCTCAGGGACTGACAGTCCATTCACCCCTGTGCAGCCGCCCCGAGGTCCGTCGCAGCACTTTCCTGTCCTGCAAAACTGCAGCTGCGCCCGTGAAACGTGTGGGGGTGGCATTAATGTCAGGGGTCATCCAGCAAGGCAAACAGAGGCCAAGGCTGGACACAGTCTGGGGTCACAAGGGCCACAAAGCCACAGTGAAAGTCTGGATTGGAACTCGAGAGCCATAGGGTCCCGGGGAACGGTTTCTTGCCTAAGAGCTGCTCCAAGTTTGGTCTGGGACTGGCGGGCAGCGTGAGCGCTTCCTGGGAGTGTGGTTAGAAACGCAGACTTTCAGGCCTTTTCCAAGACCTATGAAACCAAATCAGCAATCTGACAAGATCCCCAGGCACTTGCGGACCCGGAAAGTGTGAGAGTTGCTGGTATGTGAGGAGCCTCGGGGTCATGGTCTCGCTTCATAAACATCACCATGATTGAAAAGGAAGAAGGAAGGGGTGGGTGGCTCTGTCCCAAAAGGAGGAAGGAAGGGGTGGGTGGCTCTGTTTCCAGTCTAGGCTCTGTCCCAAAGGAATATGCTCTACATTCTGAGCTGTTTACATTAACAGGCCTAACCGGGAAGCGAAGGCCAAAATGTCTATGTGCCCCCACTTCCCCGGTGATTAGCGGTTCCTTTCTTAGCAAGCTCTTGGTCCTCTGTCCAGGTGGCACGGAAAACAGTGGTCCGGAAACCTGACTCAAAGCTGCCTCATCTCATTGGCCTGAAATTGCAAACTTAGAGAGACCTGCCTTTAATTTGGGGGGCACCCAGTGCAGAAGCAAAAAGAGGACCAACTGAAGAGTGGTTCCCCATGTCCACATACCACGAGCACAGGGAGAAACTGAGTATGTACTTCCCTTGGACAAACCGTATTTTGCTTGGCTGTACAATGCAAGGGACATATCTGCATTCACCTTACAAGGCTATTTGGAACAGTGTGGGTATGAAGTCCTTTATGAAATAACACGCCCGTCACAACAGCAGTTTGTACGGGTAGTGCTGCTCCAATATCTGTGCTGTTCGAATCGTACTTTCCAGTTTTCTTTTTCGGGGATTCCAGTTGGCATGCTTTGGAGCCTTTATCCTGTCTATGCCAAACCTTCTTAGTATTTTGTTTTTGCTTCATTTTGCTCACTTTCTCCATCTCTGCCTTCAGCACTGCTTTGTTTCGTTTTTGTGTTTTATAGGGTCTCTTTTCCCTTGTGTGAACTCCAATAAGCGTGGTTTCTTGCCGGCTTTATTTGGCCTGCCTCTTCCTTCCTACGCTTCCCCGGGGTCTGTTAAATTCTCCCTGTTGTGTGGCCACATCCTCCTGGCACCTGCGGAGCTGCTCGGCCTTCTTGCATTGTCCAGGAAACTGCCTCCCTGACTAAGAAGAATTCATTGTCAAGTGAGTGCTTGCAACTTTCTTTTTTCATTTTAATTTTTTTTAAATAATATTTTTTCTTAGCGCTGGTCTGCTTGGGTGTCTTTTCTACCTTGTCTTCCAGTTTGCTAATCTGATCCTCCGATTCATCAAACTCACTGTTACTCCTTCCAGTACATTATTTATTTCAGACATTGCATTCCCTGTTTCTGCCTGGTCTCTTTTCACGTTTTCTAGGTCTGTTTTTCAAGCTGTTGAGTATCCTTATAATCATTACTCCAAACTCTATACACGATGAATGGCTTGCCTCCATCTAGTTCTTCTTCCGGAGAGTTCTCTTGTTCTTTCACCTGGGTCCGTTCCCTTGTCTCCCCATTACTGCCCTTGTGTTTGTTTCCATGTGTTAGGTAAATCCCCAGGGATTCTGCGGCAGGAGTCAGACCTGGCCTGTGAGTGGCCCTGGGCAATGGATGAGTTCGGAGCTCTCAGGGACCTACAACTCCCGGCTCCACCCACGGGCCCTCATGTGTGCAGAGAGGACCAGGTTGCAGACCAAGGCCGGCTTTTTCAGCACCCAGCTGGGCGAGGATCAATTAAAGCCTCCAAGCACCCAGAGAGCCTCTTGGCCTGCAGGCTTTCTGTTAGTTCTCATCAGTGAAATTGTTTCCAGCTCCACTCCTCTGGCGCTGGAGGGACTCCTGGGGGTGGGGCCATTGCTCCCTCCCAGGCTGAAGTCCCATGGAGGGGAGGGCTCTGCCGAAGAAAGATGGCTTCTGCAGTGTGGGCAATGACTCAGCACAGGGACCCTGGGCACTGATCGTTCAGCGCTCTCCCCAGAGCCACCAGCCCAGACACTCCTTGGGTGGCTCTAGTCTGCTCTGCCCTCCCTCTGCTGGAGCCCAGGTAAGTGGCTGCCAATGAAATTCTGTGCGTTGGCCCTTTAAGAGGCCCTCTGCATCTGGAGCCCTCTCTTCCTGGCAGACAGAAGCTCTGCTGCTTCTCCTGGCTCTGGTGCTGTGAGCTGGGGAGTCCAGCTTGGGGTTTAGACCTCACATTTTTCAGGGGATACCACCCTGCACCCCCAAGCCATGGAAATAACCCTCTAGAACTTCGGTGGCTGCCCCTCGGAACCCCGCAGCCCCCCAGCACCTCCTTGGGGTTGCCTATCACTTTTGTTGTGGTGAAGCAATTTCTTCCGCTTCTGCCTTGATTTCAGGCTTCTCTCCAGCCGAAGTTCAGTTGGTTATTCCGGATGATTTTTATGTCATTTACTTGTCGTTCCAGTTTGGTGCTGGGAGGGGGTTGGTGTAGCGCCCACTCTCGGTGCCACCATTTGGGGGTCCGTGTTCCTGGTTTCCGAGTGCTCGTGGCCCGTGATTCTCGGGTGCGTGTTCTCGACCTGCTCTTCTCCTTCTGTCGTTATTCTGTCTCCGTTTTCGTTTGGTAGCATAGATAACGAGAATCGACCACTCGAACCGTTTCTAAGTGTGCCGTTCAGTGGCGCTAGGCGCATTCATGTCGTGGGGCAAGCAGTACTGCCGACGTTCTCCAGAACTTTCCATCTTCCCAAACGGATTCTGTACCCATTCAACACTAACTGCCTGGGCCCGTCAGCCTCTGGGACCAGCCGTCTACTTTCTGTCTCCGTGAATTTGCCTTTTCTACATCCCTCATATAAATGAAACCATACTCTATGTGTCTTTTGTGCCTGGCTTGGCTCACTTAGTTATGTTAAAAGAACCTTCTAGGCCCAAGACAGAGCTGCTCCTGCCTGGGGTGCTGTGTCAGCAAAACTCGGGTAAGTTTTGTCTCCCGTACATGCCGTGTCTGACGGGGAAGGCAGTGTGTCTCGGCGGCCGATCCCCAAGGGGAAAGCCGGCCCTGGGCCTTCTCAGCCCAGACAACATCAGCTCTGTGGATCCACCAACCAGATCTCCTCTCTCTCTCTTTTTCTCTGAAAAACCACCTGTCAGCCACCTCCGGTGGCATTTATCTTCTTTAATCTTTTTAAAAAAACAGTTCGAAGAGTGTCTGCGAGGTTCATTCATGCCATGCGGTAGCATTCTCTGAATTTCCTTCCTTCCGAAGGTGGAACAGTGCCCCGCAGCACACACAGACCCCATTTTGTCCGGCTGCTCACCCATGAATGGACACTCAGCTGCTGCGGATAATGCTCTCTGACATGGGCGCGCACGCATTTGCTCTGGACCCTACTTTCGATCCCTGAGGGCGTGTAGCCAGAAATGGAACTGCAGGGTCATAGGGTAATGCTAACTTTCGTTTTTATTAGTTAACCGTCCCTGTTGGCAGTGGCTGCAGCCTGCTGCATCCCCACAAGCCGTGAACAAGAGTTTCCATCCCCCCACAATCTGGCCAGCACTCGGTACTTCCCGTGTTTTTTGTGTTCTGACAATAGCCACCCTAACGGGTGTGGGGGTGAGCTACTGTGGTTTTCATGTCCATTGCCCTTGATGGTGAGTGATGTTGTGCTTTCTTTGGAGAAATGTCTACCCAGTCCTTTGCCCACTTTTTCAGCAGGGTGGTTTGTTTGCAGTGATTATCATCTTTGAGTGGGCCTTGCGTTGTCTGCCTTTCTGCTTGGGCCAGCGATTTGCGTGCGATTGAAATGAGGACGAACGCTGGGCTGTGGCGTTCTAGGCTAGCGTTCTTTCGGATCCAGGGCCTTCACGAGCCGTCAGTCTGGATTTCTCCCCAAAGGAACCGGTGGGCGTGCAGACGGCTCACAGCGCAGCGTCCCTTCTCCCGTTGGTCTCAAGGACAGACTGCGTCCCACAGATACGGCCACTCTCGAGATGCTCCTCGCTCAGTCCTGCATTCGTGCATCTTGGAACCAGTCCAGACCTGGCACCAACCTGAGCAGCTTATTCTCCCCCGTTTAAAAAGGGGATTTTAGTTTTGCCTTTTGTGAAAGTCCCTCCCCCAGAAGAGGGGCTTTCCCCGCTGTAATCTTAGTCCTTGTCTACTGTTTCTGAAAAGGGCAGGTGTCAGCATGCTTGCCCCTTTTCCTCCCAAAGCCTGGCCCATTCCCACCCCGTCTGGCCTCCTGTTAAACTAGGTCCTACTCATTTTTTAATTTTCATTTCTTTTTAGTTTCTAGTAGGGGGTGCTTGTATAATTTTGTGTTACTTTTGGGTAATTGCCAAAAGAAGAGAAACTGATCATTTGCTCCATTCGCCGTCACCCCGAGAGTTCATACAAAGCGATCCGGGTGTCACCACGTGCCCGTGTGGCCAGGAATGAGACGGGACACCAGGAGAAGTGGACTTTGGGTTCCTCCCTCCACCTCTGCTGCTTCTTGGACAGCTCCCTCTGGCGGTCTTTAAAGGCTTCCTTTTACTCCTCCTCCCTGGTTCCCTATTCACTGATACCTATGTCTGGCATTTCCCAGGGTTCCCTTGTCAGCTCCCTGCCCCCCCCCGTGCTGGCCACCTTCCATGGACTCGACTTATGAATTCCCAGGTCTGAGTCCCTAGATCTCAGCTCTCTAGGAAGACACTGCTCTCTGGATGACTGTGGGGTCTTCTCTTCTCCAGCAGGCGAAGCTTCACCCCGTCTGGCCCAGAACCCATTGTCACCTGTACAGAGAGAAGCACCAAGGAGCTCTGAGAGGCACCATGGCCGTGGCAGCAGCTGGAAACTACTCAGGTGACCCTCCCCTTTCCTCAGTCCCAGTTCTTTTGACCCCCATTCACCATCTTGGCATATAGTGGGTGACACTGGAGATTGGGAAGTGACTCGAGACCCCGTATGTGGGTGACCCCCATTCCCGCGTGAAGGTGAGTGAGTGTCTAGGTCCCACCACGCCCCTATTTCCCATGAGACCCTGCTCATACTGCCCCTACAGTTACAGGCATAAGCTGGGGCTCCCTTAGTTACAGAGACCACATTTTAGGAGCCCCAGATCGACGCCTCTCCATGTCAGATACAGCATCTGCGTCACCCCTTCTGGCCCCTGTGACTCTCAAGCGGCTGTTGCGGTCAGTTTGGAGGCCGTCATCTGTTTGTACAGTGAGGGCCCCCAGAACTCCCTGAACTTGGTTTTGGTGCAGCCAAACCTCCTCACTCAGTGTCCTTGACAGAGACAGTGGCAGTGAGAAGACAGGACAGCTTATGTGTTTAATCCGGAGCCTCTTCCTCCCTCTAAACTCACACCCACAGCTCAGGAGACTGGCCTGATGATGAACTGAGAGGGCCCAAGTGAGAGATGGGGGGGCAGGGGGGTGGTGGCATGGTGGACGAGATGGGACAGGGGAGGACCAGCCTGTGCCGGAAGTGCCGCCCCCTATGACAGGGAATCTCGACCAATCACAGAAGGATGATGCTGTCTGTGGGAGGAGCCAGGCAAGAAGAGGCCAGAAGGAAGGTTATTCCTTCTTCCAGGTAGTGGGGGTGTTCTGCGCTTTCCCAGCAGAAGATACACTTTTAACTATGGAAATGTGATGAGATGTGAAACTAGCCAGAAAGCGATAAAACACAAGCCAGGGTTCTATTTTCCCTGTAATCGTAGGTATAAATATCACAGAGGCTCAGAGAGCCTTTACTAAAACTGGAAGGAAACCGTGACCCCAGGCCCACCCACGCCCACTGCCGATTTGACTCTGCTTTCCCGGAGCTTTGACTCCCACTCACTCCCCGCCCCCCTCCCCCCCTTCCTGCCCCCAGAACAGAGTCATCTCCCAGAGACCTACTCCAGGCCAGGGCAGGGGAGCTGGCCAGCTGTGACTGTAGGCGTAAGAAACTGAGTATCACGAACTCGGAGCCTTTGGTCTAACGTGTTGCCAGGCTCAGGGCAGATGAGAAAGCGTCCCATGGAGATGCAGAAAAGAAATCTGCAAGTTCTTTTCGACTTTCAGAAAACAAGCATTTTTTATGTCGTATTAGTTGTTCCAGAAACAGAAATGTGTTATTACCTATATTCAGTGAAGCAAATATAACACTAATAATAAATCTTGATTATAAGGAAATAAAACTATAGCTCAGTATCCCTTATGACTCTAAGATGAACATACTAAATATAATACTAGAGCACAGAGATCTGTAACAGACTGATACAAAAATCTGTAATGGTCAAGTGTGGCTTTCATGGAATATAAGGATAATTCAATACATGGAAATTTATGAACACAATACTCTATACCCGTGGGATAAATTTTTAAAAAAGGAAAATTATGACAATCTCATTAGAGTCTGAAAATTCAGTCCCTGATCCTAATAAAAATATGTCAATATAGGAATAAAACATACTGCCTCATGAGAAAATGGTTTGTGCAGACCAAATGCCAGCGGTGAACTACTGGACTCAATTTCATAAAATTAAGTAATTCAAGCATTCGAGCAAACCCAGTAAGGCACGGAGCCCAAACAGAAGAAATAAGCATTGAAAAACCAGGGAGGAAAATGAGCATTATGTATTTATGAGTTATTCATTCAATTACTACAGCAATTAGTAAAAATTCAGTGAAGCACAGAGGAGTATTAAAAGCGAATACTGTTTCTATAGAGTAAACCACAAACTGGAGAACACAATATTAAAAAATAGCAGGAAATAATGTTAGCATGAACTATGGAGAAGCAACAAATCTTACTTAAAAGGAAAAGGAGGCCTGGCTGGTGTAGCTCCGTGGATTGAGCACAGGCCTGTGAACCAAACAACAGTGGTTCGATCCCCAGTCAGGGCACATGCCTGGGTTGCAGGCCAGTTCCTATCAGGGGATGTATGAGAGGCAACCATACATTGATATTTCTCTCCCTCTCTCCTTCCCTTCCCCTCTAAAGATAAATAAATAAAATCTTAAAAAAAAAAAAAAAAAAAGGAAAAGGAAACACGGAGTCCCTGAGACGTCATGTCACATGGCCAGGCGGGAATGTGGCAGACCTTGCATTTAACCAGGGTGTCCCAAGGTCCATACTTGTCCATACGGGGACGGCAAAGAATGTCCTCCTTCCGGCATGACTAGGAACATAAGCAGCTCCCCAGGTCTTGCCTGCAGAGCCAAGAGCCGCCAGGACAGGGTCAGTCTGTTACATGAAGGACCCACGTGGGGGACACAGATGTGAAGACCCCGGTGTGTCACAGGAAGGCAGCATTTCTGTAAATGTGACGGCAGGTCCCCTCTTGATGGAACACAGGAGTCATCAGAAATAATCCTATGACGACTGGGTAGCAATATGGAAAAACCTGTCCCATAGTACTACAGTTTAAACACAACAGACACAGGTATAGTATGTTACAAAAGCCATGAGGAAGAGAACATGTGTTTGATAAGTAAATTGAAGTAAGGGAATAAAATCAAAAGTGTTGGGGTGATTTTGACAAATTGTATTGAAAATACGTTTAAAGTGATTTTTGAGCAAGAGAGTCTCTGCCGAGGGTGGCTACGTGGCATTATCTGTGTAGGGGAGAAAAAATAATTTTCCCTCTACCCTTCTGAGTTCTTATCTGAGACCCCTGCAATAAAAAACAGATGAACCAGAGAAAAAGAAAAGTTCATTAACCCATATTCCTCACGTACGACTGCGAGAGACCCAGGGAAAAACGTGTTACTACCCAAGGTGGCTTAGACTTCAGCCTTAAAGACCATTGAATAGAGGAAGGGGGGGGGGTGTAGTAGGCCTCTTAGGGGGGAGTAAATATTTTTACTGTTTTAGGAAGTAAGAGTGGATCCTTGGAAGAATAGCGGGGAGGAATGGTAACTTGTGACAGAGTCAGCCTGGGTGTGATGTCAGCTTCTAGTCTTCTCTCCGGTGACAAGAGCCAGTCTTCCCTGCCTGATGAAACTCCAGGAAGGGGCCCGTGGCATCTGAGGTCCTTTCGGGGCCCAGACGTCTGCGGGCAGACGAGGGCAGTTCAAAGGGGGCTCCGCGCACTGCCGTCTTTCCAGTGTGTACAGGCGCAAGGGATCAACATATCAAAGTGACATCTTTGTGGTGTCATATTCCAGTACCTGTCACCTACCTGGCTGAACAAACACCTGACCAACCGAGGGACTCCTCATCTCCAGGAAGGCTTGCACAGAGCCGGACAACCCTGTCGGGATTATAGGTGGTAGCGGGCTAGACAGCATGAGCACTCACTTGCTGTCGAGCTTCCTGTATTACCAGTGAAGGGGACCCGATCACCTTTGTGTCTGTTGCGGGGTTGTTGGACGGTCACCAGAAGATTCTTGTGACTAGATGCGTAACATCAACATTCCTGAAGCCCTTCACCAATCTGCTATGCTTTCAGAAATCTGAGATGACCAGTTTGGCTACCGCAGAGTTAGCCCTGGGTATTGATTATCACAGTTTGTTGGACTAAAACCATTAGGCAGAAATGTGCAATCTGTGAAACACTGTGATTTTTCATGTATTCCAACCTTGCCTGTTTTATTCCCAAATATTATGATTAGATGACCTTCACCAGAGCATCATTCAACGTCTGGCCAAGCTGACCACAGAGGACATACACTGGCTCTTCCAGAACCCACAGGCTTTGGACGCAGTGATGCAGGGACTCAGTGTGGAAAGGTAATCCCAGAGAAGGGGTGTCTGGGGGGAGTTGGCAGGGTGGGAGTCCTGTGAGCACAGGGATTTGGGCTGATATGCTCATCGCCCCAAGGCTGGCATCCAGAACGGGCGCCTGGGACAGACCTGGCGCTCAGAGTTGGAGTGCGGGAAGAAAATCTGGTGGTTGACATTCCCACCGAGTTCTGTGCTGGCACTGTCTGCATAGTAGGGGACCTGTGTGTGCCCACGGAGTTGGCCGGAGTCGGTGGCACTGCCTCATTTCCCTCCAGTGGCAACTGGAGATGTGCAAAGGAAAATAAAAGAGGGTTTTATTATTTTATTTGCTACACATCTTAGCAAAGTAAATTAAAAACCTTCAGTAAGCACATTCAAAGGTGCCCAGACACCCAGCCTGCTGCATGAGAGATTCTTAGCAGCAGAATTTGCTCCATCTTGCCCAGTCAGGAGCACTCCTTCCCCCGCCTTTCTCTGCCCTTGCCCTGGAGACCCAAATGCCTGGGACTCACCTGCCACAGCCTTCACCCGCCACCGCCGCTCTCCAGTAGAGCTCAGCTAGAGTTCTTCTCAGAACAGATTCTGCTGCCTGACATAGGTTGTACTTACTCCTGCTGAAGTGTCTCGAAGTTTCTGTTAAATGAGGTGCAGTGCCAGGCCAAGCTCTTAAATGATAAAACCTGCTTCAGTGACGCAGTTTCCTGCCCTCCTTTCTGGACAGAAAAAAGCCGTTCTATGTAGCCACATCGTTAGCCCAACCTCCCTCCACTGCTACCCGTCCCTCTCCCACTGCTACCCGTCCCTCTCCCACTCTTTAGATTCCTTTGCATGGCTCCTATTAACCCCGACACAACCCAGAGCAACATCCTTCTCTTCTGCCACTGGCTGACAGATGAACTTAGACCAAGTCAGGTAGCTTCCAGTGAGCCTGTGCACACATTTCTCTCCCCTCCTCCATGAAGGCAGAGAGATGGTGCTTCCTATCTCAGCAGTGATGGGGCAAACTAGAGGATTCCGCAAGGCTGGAGTCCTAGGTTCTGTCAACCAATGGTTGTTGGCGCCAATACAGCACCAACAGGAATCGCCAGTCTGGGGCACAGTGAAGAAGGAAACTTCACTGCCTGCAAAACAGCTCAACTGTGGTAACTACGCCTGGGAGGTGGACCTGGGGCAGGCCACTCTCTGGCTAGACAGCTCTGCTCTGTGCAGGTCTGTTCTGTTCTGTGGAGAGATCAGTATTTCAGCCCGGATAGGAAACAGTTGCAAAGGGAACAGTGTATGCTCAGAGTCAGACGGGGGCTGCCTTACGTAAACAGAAGTCCCCACTCCTGATCCCTGATTGGTATGTTCTCATGCAAATGAGAACTCCACATCCTTGTAGTTTGATTGGTCAGAATAGATCCGCTCTGACTGGTCAGAGCTGTGCAGATCCAATTGGGCGGGGAAAGCCTCGGTGCTATTGGCTGAAACAGGATCCCAGGACCTCCACGGTAAGGGCTGGCTCAGATGGCAGATGGCAGAAACACAGTGCGGGCCTCTCCCTGCACAGGGAGGTAGAAATGGCTGCTAGGCTCTGTTTTTGTTGTTGTTGTTTACTTTGAGTCCAGTTAGCCACCAGGAACCCGTTCACCTTAGTAAGTACCTTCTTCCTCAGTCCGCATCCTCTCCGTGATTCCACCACTAACTGGACTGTGTGTGTGTAAATCACCCCTTCTTGGGGCCAGCTTTTTCCTCTGTGGAAAGGGGGCTCGTGGTGAGAACATGGCAGGCTGTCACTCTCCGTGGTGCTGGGAAGCACTGCAGCCCAAACCTAGTACTCTTCCTCAGAGAGGCTGGACGCGGCCTCGCGATCCTTCTCAGCACAGTGGTCTCGACACCTTTCTACCAACATGGCGGGGGGGGGGGGGGGTTGCGCCTCTTTGCCATCTGTGTGCCCCATGGTCTCGGTGAACCGCTGGGTCTAACACCCCACACACAGCGCTGTCTAAGGTTTGGATTGGAGGGGGGCTGAACTCCTAGGTGTACGAAGGCGTCCCGAAGACAACTCTGGCTAAGCTTTTCTTTTTATAAGTGACTTGATGGGGAAGAATGTCAATTGGCTGGTCTACCTGAGGCTGCTGATGGCCTTGCCCAGTGTGCAGAGAACTCTAAAGCCATTGTCAACAGTTCCTTTGGCCCCTTGGGGCCGCCTGATCTCAGGAGGGTGGTCCTAGGAGCCCGCCTTCTTTCCCACAGACACGCCCTCCCATAGCCTTAAAGGCAGGCCCCACCCGTGGCAGATGCTGGGTTTGAAGAGAGACAGGACTGAACCCGAGGGTCCTGTCACTCCAGTCAGACTCTCCCCTGTCACAGGAAGTCGATGGCGGCAGCCTGTACAGTCCAGTGCCGTCCACTGTGGGAGCCCCAGACCCTTCCAGACAAATTGACTTAAGAACAGTGATCCTTAAACAAAGGCCCCGGTGTTCCAGGAGCAGGACCAAACTCGTTCCACAGGAAGACTAAAACATAATGGCCTTCTCTCCCAAAAGACAGTAGAAATCTCAGTTCAACGGAGAGAATTTCCTCAGCTGTACATTTTTTCTCATCTTCACCTTTTCTTAAAAGACAAGGCGCTTCTCCTACTGGCCTGTTACCACGCGAACAGAGTAGAACCTGTGGTTTCCAAGCACAGCCGCCCCCTGTTCGAAATCCTGTTCGGTTCCCAAAGCGCAGCATCAGGGGCGCAGCGGAGAGCAAACCAGGCGCCCTCCCCGTGGGAGGGGTGGCAGTCGGCCGTCTCACCCCCCACCTTTTCCTTTAGAAGTGTTGGTTACGTTACTAACATTTTTGGAACAAGTCTAATACATGCACAAGATACAAAACGTAAAAGAAACAAAAGGATGAAGGGCAGAAAGTAATGTCCCTCAAAGCTCTGTCCCCGGCCCCGAGGCTCCCCTCCCCGGAAGCAACCAGCACATCCAGGTGGATCCCCTTTAAACGTTTTTCTAAAAATTGAGACGTGAACTCTGTAGGCTCTCAGCACCCGACTTCCCGGACGGAAGTGCTCACGCGGTTACAGACGTGTACATCCTGCACGTGCGCACACAGGTGTATTTACTGAGAAAGGTTGGGTGTCAGAGGAAAAGGGCTCATGGGCCGGACAGCGGTGTGGTTACTTGGGTCGTGGTGGGGGTGCGTGTGGGGTGGAAGGGGGCAGAAGGGGGATAAGCGGTAATGGAAAAAACATGGTAAAAAGTAAATCAGAAACAAAGGCTTGGTGACAAGAGTCAGCAATGTTTTCAGTTGTTTCATTCATCACATGAGTAGCCACTTGACGAGCCAGTCTTGATGTTCGGGGGGCTGGCACGAACTGTGCTCGTCTGGAAAACTCGGCCCCCCAGGGGCCTGGCTGGGAGAGTGCTGTCCCCACATTCCTGGGCCCTGCTCCCTGGGAGGCAGGTGGCCGAGGCGTCTTTAGCCCCCCTGGGGAGCCCGTCCAGAGCTGGGGAAGTAACCCTGCGATGTGGCTTCTCCACAGCGACGAGGCCAGCACGCTGCACTATATCCTGGGACAGGAGCTGATGCGCCGCGAGGCAGGGAGCGGGCCACGGGCACATCTGTCGCAGGAGGAAAGAATGTTTCTCGTGAATTTCCACTGGAGGAAGCACAAGATGGAAAAGACCATCAGAGAACTGAGAACCATCGCAGACGAAGCCGACTCGGCCCATAAGACGCTCACCCAGACCAACCTGGTAGCCAGCTCTGCAGGTGTTGTGTCTGCAGCCATGACCATCCTGGGAGTGGCCCTGTCACCTGTGACAGCAGGAGGTAGTCTGTTACTCTCAGCGGCTGGGCAGGGCCTGGGGGCAGCAGCTTTTATCACCAACACTGTGACAAATGTCTTAGAAGATAGGAGCAAGTCGTCAGCAAGAGATAGAGCCAGCAGACTGGTGGCTCTTCCAGCAACACCAGAGCCGGAAGCTGGGGGAGGAGTGAGTCTGTTTCCAGTGAGAACTACAGTGGTTGTTCAGAGGTGCCGTGATATCCTGGGGAGCATCAGGGAACTTCGAGCCTACTGGGTGGCCCGAGCCAACCCTGGCTTCATGGGGAGGGTCAGGAATTTTGTGGCCACACACCGTGTGCCCTTCTTAAGGGCAACAGGGGTGCAGAGAGCCGCGGGCCAGGGCTCCGCGCTGGCCATGACCCGAGGTGCGCGGGTGCTGAGCGCAGCTGGGGCTGCCTTCCTGCTCGTGCAGGATGTGAGGAACGTCCTGCGGGACTGGCAGCACCTGAGGGAGGGGGCGCAGGCGGAGGTGGCCACGGACCTGAGGACACAGGCCAAGCAGCTGGAGCAGGAGCTGAACCAGCTGTCCAGGTGCTACGAGCAGATGTGTCTGAGGCAGAACAGGAGGCTGGAGGAAGGAGGTAGGAACAGAACCGGGAAGTATGAAGGAGGGCAAGGCTGCTGGGGTTGTGGGGACGAGGGGCTTGCTGAACAGGCAGGCACACAGACATGTGCGTAATCACAACTGCCCTTTTTCAGGGAGGGCCTTCCCACACCCCGCACTTCAGCTGGGTCCCTGTGTTCTTTCCAGCGTCCTGTGCTGTCCTCCCCAAGCACTGAGCAGACATTTCTGAAATGATGGGGTGTTGATTGGGTGTTTGCTGTCTGTCTTCGTACAGAAAGCACACCCTCCAGGCCGGGGGGTGTGTTCCCGGCATCTCGGTGTGCCCAGATGTATGCTGAACTTCATGGTCAAGATGATAACTTCAAAGGAGTTAGGAAAGGGCTTTTGTTTGCAAATGAGTTCGTACTTCTAGACTCTCTTATTCAGAGACATTAACTACAACTATTTGTTTAAAAAAAAATGAAATGAAAACTACCATCAGGAAAATGAAGCAGAATGTCAAAATTCCTCTTTAAATCTACAGAGAGGGCGGAATGGGACTGGGTAGCAAGGCCACTGCCTGAGACGCCGGAAAGGCACACGGAAGACTGCGGCTCGCAGATTCATTCATTCGCCCATTCGTCAGACAGACTTTAATCAAGTGAGGCTGGTGGTGGGGCCGAGGACTAAGAAAGCAGACCCACCCTGGTCTGCATGTTGAAACCACCTGGGAAACTTCAGAACACGCTGGTGAGTGGGCGGGCCCTGCGTCAGGACTGGGACCCGACCGTCTGCCTTAGGGCCTGGACCGTGGAAGTTTTAAAGCATCTCCTAGTACTTCCACTGCGTGGTGAGTCTGGGAGCCGCTGCCTTAGGCCGTGAGTGCTTTCTTCCTTTTCTCATGGATATACTTTCACCCCGAGGGTCCACTCGCTAGCTTCAAAATACCCAGGGGCAGGTTTGGGGGTGAAGTGTGAGACACCAGGGCTCCTATTCGAAAGGGTCCGGCCCGCCTCTTTCTTGCAGCGTGAGCTTAGACCGGGTGCAGGCGGGGCACAGAAGACCTCCCGAGAAAAGATGGTCTCTGCGCCAGTGGTCCTTGGGACAGACCCCAGAGAAGCCATTAATGAGGAGGAGGAGGAGGAGGAGGAGGAGGAGGAGGAGGGGCAGATGGTATGAGGAAGACAGGGCATTGTGGGAGCTCCTGATGGGTGCCCTTACACCTGAGGTGGGGGGCTGTGGGGGAAGGGGAGGGCACCCCACCTGGTGAGAGAAGCTGGTGTCTTCCATTTCCGCTCTGTGGACATTCATTCTGGGCTTGTGTCCTCGCCAGTCACCTCTCTGGTCCTGCACGCTGCCTGCGTGCATTTCCAGCCGGAGGGGCCATTCATTCAGTTCTTCAAAGCACAAGCGTAGCATCACTGACCACATCAGCACCGGGCAGCACCTGGGCCGAGCTGGGGTCCAGCCCAACAGGTGGGAGGACCGCCTCGCTCAGCCCCGAGGGAGCTGGGAACCTGCCGTGGGACCCTGGCTCTGCTGCAGAAGCGACTGCCTCCTTCTCCCTCTCACCCTCGTTGGTGAGGCCGTCTCCACCAACCCTGGTTTGGCAGAAGCAAACTGACAGCCTTCTACTATGAAACCCCAGGGCGGGATCCCTTCCGCTTGTTACGAGGCACCGAGCCAGGAGGCCAGGAGACCTGCAGCCGTTTGCTATAACCCCCGGGGACCAGGCCAGATTTGCAAGAGATCAGATTCTCTGTGTGGACAGATAGGGTTAGAGTCCAAGACCTAAATATTTGTGTCAGTTTCAAATGGGGCTGAGATACATTTAGAATATGTGTATTTTCCATTGTATATAATTACACAGTACAATTATAAGTCACTGGGAACCCCCCCCTTTATTTTATAATAAATGATGCTCTGTCCCCCTTCCACTGCCCTTCGCACCTGGTCCCCACCCCTCTGTCGTGGCGGCCACACTGCATGGAGTCTGTGTGACGGAGTCTGCCACCCACACCTAGACCCGGTCTATGTCCCCAGTGCCGGGAAAAGGCAGCGATTTGAGAGGCTGTGTCACTAGGAGAAAGTGATCCCTCTTATGGCCGCAGAACGTAAACCTGCAGAATGGGACACCGGGAAAATGCCGCAGCACCAGGAGACGGGTGGACCAAACCGCACCGTGCGAGAGACTGCTCTGTAGCCGTCAAAATGGTGCTCTCGAGAGTCAGTGGTTGGATTAACATGGAACATGCTGCTTTGTCCAGTTAAATGACAAAAGCAGCATGAGACTTGTGTATACGCTTTCTCACCTTTTACCTCGCAAAGGGAGACAGCCGCGTGTGGAGTACACACACACAGCTGCTAGGAAATAACAGCGGGGCCGGCCGGCCTGCTGTTATCTTGGAGTTTGGGTTGCTTTGACTTTCTTCTTTCTGCCTTTCTGTACTTTTCAAGTTTTCTAGTACATGAATTACTGGTTTTATAAAATGGAAAAAATACATAATAAATATTTACATTAAAATTAAAGAATTTTTACCCTGGTTGGTGTGGCTCAGTGGATTAAGTGCTGGCCTGGGAACCAAAAGGTTGCCAGTTCGATTCCTGGTCAGGGCACGTGCCTGGGTTTCTGGGCAGGTCCCCAGTAGAGGGCTCTCAGGAGGCAACCACGCATCGATGTTTCTCTCCCTCTCTTTCTCCCTTCCTAAAAAAAATTTTTTTAAATCCTTAAAAAGAAAGAACTTCTGCCTTTTTAAAGAGGACCAGCTTGCCCTCACTGGTGTGGCTTGGTTGGAGGACTTTCGGTCCTTTAACCGAAAGGCTGCAGGTTCGATCCCTGGTCAGGTATACACAGAAGGCAACCAATCAATGCGTCTCTCTCCCTTCTTCTCTCCTTTCTCCTGTCTCTAAAAGCAATGAAAAAATGTCCTCAGGTGAGGATGAAAAATAATAAATAGATAGATAGATACCAATTTATAGTCTGCTGGTGTTCATTTACTTCTTTAAAAAATTTTATTGATTCTAGAGAGAGGAGAAGGGAGGGAGGAACATCTCTCCGTTGCCTCTGCACACACTCCATCTGGGGACCAAACCTGCAACTCAGGCCTGTGCCCTGACCAGGGATCGAACCTGCGATGCTTGCCTTTGTGGGGCAACACCTAATGAATGGAGCCATGATGGCCAGGGCTTGGTTTACTGCTCAAATCACTGGGATGAACAGTCTCTTCCTCTTCACCGAATGAAGTCACAGGGAGAGAGGAATGAGAGTGTTTTCCTTGCAGACCATTCCTGTGATGTTAGCAACAGCTGACACCCGGGGGAGCCTAGTCTTCTGGGTCCGTGCACTCAGTCCCTATGTGTGTGTGTGCGTGTGCGTGTTTGCATATGAACGTGCACATGTGTGTGTCGGATTCCCCACACCAACAAGGCATCTAAGAATTCAATTCAGCGCGGGCACATCTGCCCCGGAACCCCCAGGTTCCGGGCTCCATCCCACGAGACCACGCCCACTTCAGGCACCATCGCCAGCCGGGGTTTCACCTGTGCTTCTGACCAGCTGACTGCAAACCAGAGGTTCCCACACCCTCCTCCTTTGATTTAACTGATTTGCCGGGATGGCTCACAGAACTCAGGAAAACCATTCACTCACTGCATTACTGATTGGTTACAAAGGGTATTAAAGGATACCAATCAACAGCCAGAAGAGCTGCAAAAGTGGGGGGGGGTTCCTGAACAAAGGGGCTTGGTCCTGTGCAGCTGGGGGCCTGGCGGGCTGCGCAGGCCAGCGTTCTGGGTCCCCAGCACAGAAGCTCTCTGAACCCCGTCCTTCTGAGGCTGGACAGACGCTGTATGACACAGGAGTGGCTGATGGACTCATTGGCCACCGGCAGTTGATTCAACCTCCAGCCCCTCCCCCCTCCCTGGAGGTAAGGAGGTAAACCCGAATCACCTGGTTAGTACTCCTGGCAGGTACCCCCCTCCTTAGATGCTTTGCAAAAGTCACCTCATTAACATCAACCATCATCCATCCATCCAGACGCCTGAACACCTGTCATGAGAAAGGGACAGTTCTAGGCACTGAGGGCAAAGCAGTAAACAAACCCCCGCCTTCACCGGGTTTGTGTTCCCACGGTGATGGCAGGGGAGACAGACGAGAAACATAATAAATTAGCAAACATAACTGAATTATGCCTACTAATTAGAAACATAAATTAGTAAATTAGAAACATAATAAGTAAATTATACAATAGTGCACAGGTGGCGAACACAAGGCCTGAAGGCCGAATCTGCCCTCCACCTTGTTTCCACCTGGGGGCAGCACTGAGCTCCTTGCCCCTGGGTAAGGAGGAGTTCCATTTACACAGCCCGAAAATTACACTTGGCCCTTTGAAGGCACCCGTGAGGCTGATGTGGCCCCCGGTGAAAATGAGCCCGACACCCCTGCAACAGAATGTAAACTAATGGGTGTTAGGGAGAGAAATACATTTGGGAAGGAGAATACCAAATATCAGGTGGGCAAGAATGCAATTAAAAATAGGACCAGACTTCCGCCAAGATTGAGATGTAGGTGGAGGGTCCACCTTGCCTCTGTGCACAACCAAATCTAAGAACAACTATTTTTAACAGCAGTCACAACCAAGCCACATGGAAAATCGACAATACGGAGTCCAAAGGACAACTAGATACTCAGCTGGACCGGTACGAGGAGCGAAGCCAGCAGCGGAGCAGGTTAGCAAGAAAAAATTCCCGGGTGGTGCGCGGTGCGCGCGCAAGCAGCCGAAGGCGCTGATCGTGAGCGAGCTAGCTACGGGAGCGCACAGGGAAGAGGCGCAGCGGGTCGGTCGCGCATTTGCGTGCGGAGAAACCAGTGAGAAGGGAAGCCTGCGCAGGACAGCAGCCTCGCACAATTCCTTTAGGATAAACAAGCCCGAGGCGTGTGGTGTGACTGGACAGGCTGGGCTAGCGGAGAGGGCCGCCATTGCTCCCTCTCTGACCACGCCCCCACACACATCGTCATAAACCAGCGACCTGGGTCACCCCGTCCTGGTAAACAACTAAGGCTTCGCTCCGCTTACTTAACAGCACGAATAGACCAAAAATGGCTCTAGGACAACTCAGAGCCCCAGAACCGATAGATCTAAGTGATGAAGAAATAGCCAGTCTTTCAGATGCACAGTTCAAAACACTGGTTATCAGGATCCTTACAGAACTGGTTGATTTTAGTCACAAATTAGAGAAACATATGGAAGCTAAACTAATTGAAATGAATGGTAATACAAAGGAAACCAATAGTAATGGAAAGAAAATTGGGACTCAAATCAAGGGAGTGGACCAGAAGGAAGAAAAAAATGACCAAACAGAAAAGAATGAAGAAACAAGAATTCAAAAAAAATGAGGAGAAGCTTAGGAACCTCCAGGACATCTTTAAACGTTCCAACATCCAAATTATAGGGGTACCAGAAGGGGGAAAGGCACAGCCACCAGTGGAAAACTTATTTGAACAAATAATAAAGGAGAATTTCCCCAAGCTGGCAAAGGAAATAGACTTCCAAGAAATCCAGGAAGCTCAGAGAGTCCCAAAGAAGTTGGACCCAAGAAGGAACACACCAAGGCACATCATCATTACATTAGCCAAGATTAAAATGAAGGAGAGAATCCTAGAAGCAGCAAGAGCTAAGGGGACAGTCACCTACAAAGGAGTTCCCATCAGACTGTCAGCTGATTTCTCAAAAGAGACCTTACAGGCAAGAAGGGGCTGGAAAGAGGTATTCCATGTCATGAAAACCAAAGATCTACAACCAAGATTGCTCTACCCAGCAAAGTTTTCATTTAGAATGGAAGGACAGATAAAGTGCTTCTCAGATAAGACCAAATTCAAGGAGTTCATCATCACCAAGCCCTTATTATATGAAATGTTAAAGGGACTTACCTAAGAAAAAGAAGATAAAAAAAGATGAACAGTGAAAGGACAGCAAACTCACAGTTATTAAGAACCACACCTAAAACGAAAGCAAACTAAGAGGACAGCTAGACCAGGAGCAGAACCATAGAAATGAAGATCTCATGGAGGGTTAGCAACAGGGGAGTGGGAGAAGGGGAAGGGGGGAGAAGGTACAGAGAATAAGTAGCATAGACAGTAGATAGAAAATAGATAGGGGGGAGGGTAAGAATAGTAGGGGAAATACAGAATCTAAAGAATTTGAGACACGTGTTCATGAACTAAAGGGGGAAATGGTAGGGGAGGGGTATGCAGGGTGGAGGGGAATGGAGGGGGGGAATAGAGCAAATGTAATGGCATAATCAATAAAAAAAGTTAAAAAAAATATTAAAAAAAAATAGGACCATCAGGGGCCCTGGCTGGCTGATGTGGCTCAGTTGGAGTGCTGTCCTGTACACCAAAAGGTTGTGGGTTCAATTCCAGAGCAGGGCACATACCTAGGTCAGAGAATCGATCCCCCAGTAGAGGCATGTATGAGAAGCAACCAATCAATGTTTCTCGCTCACATTGATGTTTCTCTGTCTCTCTCCCTTCCTCTTTCTAAAAGCAATGAAAAAATGTCCTCAGGTGAGGATTAATTAAAAAAAATACGATCACCAGGAAAACCTGGGTGAGACACTCGTATCTGAACAAAGGCATGAAGGTGGGGAGGCAGCCAGCCAGGTACCTGGGAGAAGAGCATGCTGGGCAGAGCGCTAGTAACAGTGACAGTGTGGCAGCTCGGGGGCTGCAGGGAGGCTGGCGCGCCGGGAGCACCTCTGGCTGCCCTCCCTCTCAGAGCTCTCCACCCTATCTTGGTCCCTGGGTGCCCCCCCCCCCGACACAGCCCGCTCTGTGTCACTCCTCAGTGGGTCTATGGCTCCACACGGTGCCCAGGCTCCTCTGCCACTTTCCACCTGGGCGCGGTGCACCAGGCTGGCTTCACTGCCTCTCCATGTTCTCTCTACAATGGAGATTCTAATGAAAGCTCAAGAATATGGTGGAAATTAAGTGAGATCTCATGTGGGAAGACACCCGCCACCATTCTCGGGATTGACATACACTCAGCAGACGCTCATTTGGCCTTTTTGGAAGCATTTACTGAGTGTCCCCGTGAGTGGCGCCCTGCAGCAGGACCTGAGACTGGCACCAGCAACCAAAAAGGCCAAATCCCCAGCTCTGGAGAACTTACCATTCCTCTGGAAAGACCATCTCGTGCCTCTGGTTTTTCCATCCATTCGAACACCAGCAAGACAGCGCTTGGTCAAGAGAGACTCCTCGGGTCAGGACCTGCCCACATCAGGCCGAGTGGTCCTGATCTTAGCCTCGCTGGGCCTGTTCCCATCGGTGCAATGGAAGGCCGGACCACTGGATCTTCAAGGCACACATACAACTGTACAATTCCACGACTTTGACTCTGAGGGCAGATGCAGAGTAAGCCCTGGGGACAAAGGCTGATGGCGCCCCCGTGGCCACTGGGTGCCCGACTCTGTGCGAGGCCTGGGGATGTGACGTGAGCAAAGCCGCTCGTTCTCACCCGGGTTCAATCCAGGCTCCGCCGCTCCCTCCATGTGTGACCTACCCCCATGACCTCTCTGCGTCAGTTTCTCAAGGAAATGGGGAGCACAGGGAAGAAGGGAATCGATCAATTATTATTGAGTGGTCAAGGGCACGTTGAGAGTTAAAGATGCCAAACCCAGGCCACGGCTCTGTCACCAGACCCTGGAGGACTGTCTGCGGTTCTAGGCTCTTCCCTGTGGACAGCACTATTAACAACAAGTTACTACAAAAATGATAAAGCACAACTTGAGCAAATACTATCTACCCTATATTTCTAAGCACTTGATATGCATTAACTTTTAAAATCCTTACCTCAACTCTATGAAATAGGGACTATTAACATCCCCATTTTACAGATGAAAATACTGAGGCATGCTAAGTAACTTGCCCCAGGAAATGGTGGGCCGGATTTCAAACCCAGAGAAGCTGGGTCTGGAGCCCAGGCTCTTAAATACTTCCATGAATACGGCTGCTACTCCGGGCAGAGGTGAGGGCCACCTCGAAGGGGGTGGGCTCTCCGGCACAGCCCTCTCCTTTTCTCGGTGCAGGAGCACCATCTTCCGTGGAACAAGCAGCTGTACGCTCAAGTCACTGTGCTGGGAGAACCCCACAGGGCTCTGCGGGCAGGAACGTCAGTTCTACGCCGGTCCTATGCCAGCGCTGTTAACTGCAGGCCCCGTGGACCTGAAGGGGTGCCGGCGGCTTCAGGAAGGGCTGTGTCTGGCCTGGAGGAAGAGCCGCACAAAGCACAGTCCTGACTCTCGGAAGTCACAGCGCTGCAGCCCAGAGCTGAGGACAGTGGGGACCGAGTCCTCAGAAGTCACAGTGCTGCAGCCCAGAGCTGAGGACAGTGGGGACCGAGTCGGGGCCAGAGCGCTCAGAGGTGACAGATGGCTGGGCTGAAGCACACTGAAAATGTCCACGGAGAAATGGCCTGAGGGAAAACACGGGTGGGGGCAGTGAGGAAGGGGACGGTGTGGAAAGAGAGGGGAGGAGGTGAGGGGATTGTGTGCACCTACCTTGAGTCAGACCCCATTCTAGGTCCCTGATCTTGGGGATCTCAGTCATGGTCTAGGTCACGGTGGTGGACAACACAAAGATCCCTGCCCCTTGCAATCCAGCAGGAGGACCTGTTTGGGTTTGTTATTGATTCTAAGCCTGGAAGATGGTTTGAGGCCAGAACTGTAAGGTGCCTTCAGTGCCTGCCTGGGAGTTCAGAATTTGGCTCCGTGAGAAAAGGAAGTTTCCATGGAGACTGAGCAGGAGATACTCTGAGAACAAACGTGTCAGGAGGTGCGATCTGGCCGAGCTGCAAGAAACCATGGCCCTCAAATGTAGCCTGTCACCAACCCTGTGATAGCCGGGCCGTCCCCTTCCCTGCATTTTCTTTGTAAGTCTTCATGTTGCAGCAGTTTTAAGGCAACACGGGGTGGGAAGCACAGAGTCCCCACACGCCTGTCCCCCCAACCCACACTGGTGAGCCAGCACTCAGACAGCAAGACCAGCCTTTTGAAACGGGCGCTTGCGTCCTCTCAGGAGACCTGTGGAAGCTCCTGGCCTTTGAGAAGAGAGCAGGGCCCGAAACAGTGAGCGTGGCGGCTTCCAGATGCTTGGCGCTCACCGGGCCAGCTGCGTGGGAACCTCTGGGCCCGCAGCCTGCCTGGCTTTGGAAATGGTGGCCCCGATTCCTGCTTTGGTTGAGAATCTCCAACGTGTGGCCTACCTAGATCTAGAACAGGCAGTTCCCAAGTCGATGCGTCATTTTCCCGGGTGGCGTCAGCTTCCAACACCACTGGGTCTGGGCGTTGGCCTCCCTGCCCACTGGGGCTTCTTCTCGGTACACAGGCCTTGTATTCCCTGTGGAGGAGGAGGAGGAGCTTTGCTCCAACGGGCAGATGGCCACTCGGGTGGGGATGCATGGCCAGGCCGTCCACACTGCTGGGACGGAGCATCGCCCGGGCCCAACTCTCACCTGGAGGCGAATTCCTCCACCGACAACTTCCGCACTGGGAGGGCCCCGAGGACTCTCTGCCCACTCTGAGCACCCCCGTCCGGGGGGTTGGGGGGCAGGCAGGCAGCTGGAGGCTTCACCAAGAGGGGTTTGCCAGGACTCAGCAGCAGAAGCCGGCACGACTCCTCTTACCATCCAGCGCCCACTTCAGAACAGGAGACATGTTGGTGGCTGCTACGCAGCAACGTGGGGGTGTGGACACTGCGGGCACAGGCCGAGCACCCTCCATGGAGCTGCCCTTCTGCCCGTCTCAAACCCGCCCCGGTTTACACAGAACTGCAGGGTTAAGTGTGGCTCCAGTCCCAGCACTGCTCTGACTGTGGTACCTTCAGCCCAGAGGGCGCGACGGGCACTCTGGCCGGGGCCGTGGCGGAGCGTTGGGGAGCCGGGCATGGTCGATCGGGATCTCCGACCTCTGGAAGCTCAGCTGGGCGTGTGGGGGGGCGCCTTCCCTCACAGAAACCCCGGCTGCTCTGGGTCTTGCTGCCGAGTGGGGCTGACACTCGGCCACGCGTCACTGGCCAGAGTTCACGGGAGGATCAGACACTGTGGGCCGGGGCTGAGCCTGGCTCAAGGACTAGACTCAGGGACAGCCTGCCGAGAGGAAGAGTTTTGGGAGTGGAAGGAGTTCGAGCCAACCAAATGAAACGTATACTCTGTGCTGAAGACAGTGGACTTGGGATGCCTAAAGGCTAGGCTGGCGGCCAGCCCTCAGCCCGACGGCGGAGGTCGGCGTGGCAGGAGCCCTGACAGGCAGGGAAGCTGAGCAGCAGGGGCGAGAGGTCCAGGTGACACCTGAGCGGGGCCCAGGCTGAGGGCGACTTCACCGGGGGCAGGGGCTGTAGGAGCAACGACAAGGGGTGAAGAGGCACAGCTTGTCTTGGGGCACAGGCTCTGGTGACGGGGCAGAGGTCACACAGAAACTGGGGGCTGAGGTGGTCTGAGACCATCGTGGGGAGGCCTTCAGTGCCTTCCTAGGGAATTTGGAATTTGAACGTAGAAAAATGGCAATTTCTCAAGGATTCTGAGAGGGAGGATAGGGGCATATTTATGTTAGGAGAATCCAGGTGGAAGTGCAGAGGCGGACTGACCAGAGGAAGATTCTGGAAGAGAGGCCAGGCCATTCTGTCAGCGACTTTGAGCTCTTCCAACACCTTAGGGCTCAAGTTACTGTTGCGTGGATTCTGGCAGAAGACACAGGACGGGGTCAGGGACGAAGGGCTGGATCGCTCGCAGCGGAGAGGGCAGTGCGGGTATCAGCACGCGTGACAGTGCCCCGGGGGCCCAAGCCCCAGGGGTGTGGGGAAGGGGACATGGGCCCGGGTGGGTGCTGGCATGCAGCTGAGTTACACAGGATCCACCTTTCTCAGCAGGTACAATAGTGAGTAAGCGTGTCCTCTGTCCCGGAGGGATGGATACCTCATCCCTCGGGGTTACTTGCTGCAGACACGAGCCCTGAAAAGGCGAGGCAGGAGCAGTCGGGGCCTGGATGGCTGCCCGCACGCCTAGCGAGATGTGCAGGAGCCAAAGCGACCAAGGGGAGCGCGCCACACACCGTACCTCAGGGCTGCAGGGACGGCTGGCGGGAGATATGGGAAGGGACCTCAGCAGTGCCCCGGAAGAGCCATGATGACCAGGGGCGCCAGTACAGAGGGAGGCAAGCCGGAAACTGTGTCGCTTTAAGAAATGTAAAAAAGTTATTCGACTAATGTCTATGGAACGCTTACACGTATGTGCGAGGCGCTGGAGACCAGAAGGAAGCCGCTGACCCCGGGCCTCCCGTTTGGTGCAGGCGGCAGGCCGGCCGGCCGGTGGGGAGCACGCGCCTGGGGCCTTGCCGACCCCGCTAAGCTCTGGGCGCTGGCGGGGCGTGTTCCGGACAGAAGCGCAGCACGATGCAGTTTTCGCTCTCACAGAGCGGACGGGGGCAGAGGCCAGCGAAGCAGACGAGGCCAGCCGGGCGGCGTCTCCGGCAGCAGCAGTGGGGGCACTCACACCCCACACCCTGCCACGGCCCGGCATGCCAGCGGAAGGTCTCGGAACACTGGGCAGGACTGAAGGCCACCGGCCACGGAAGTGCACCCAGCGTCCACTTGCCGTCACCACATGGGCTGCTTGAGGGTCTGGAGGGAGAAGCTGGACGGCAACAGGGGAAGAGCAGGTGCACTCGGGGGCAGGCTTGGGGTCTTGAACAGTGACAGTACTTGTTTAAATGTGTTAAGAGTTAAGCCTATTCAAATGCGGCAGGGACTAGAAGGAAGAGGTGAACCGTGCAGGGGATGGCAAAGCGAGGCCGAGAAGGCAAAGCGAGGCCGAGAAGGTGGGGAAGCCCGGCACTCAGAGCGAGCGCGCCTCTGCCAGGAGGAGAGAAGGCAGGAATGCCAGTAGGTGTGTGGATCTACCAGCCAAACAGCCTCCCCATGGGCTCTGGAGGGGCGGCCCCCCTCTTCTCCATGAAGTGGGGAGATGACCCATCCGAGAGAGTAAAGTTAGGAGTTGGAGATTCGTGGAGGTGGTCAGAAATTTGGGAATTTCTGGCAGGAAGGACGGCTGGGAAAGCACAGGTGGGGAAGGAAAGGGCCAGGTGGGACCTTCGGAGGAATGGTTCCCACCACCGGTAGGGAGAAGGCTCGGAGGCTGGTGGAGGCGGGCAGCTGGGGAGGGCAGTGACAGGGGCCGTGAGGCAGAAAGGTGCCAGGCCCCAGAAAGTCGAGCGGATGGACCGGGCCCCAGGACGTCCTGGTGAGGACGCAGGCCGGGCAGAGGCCAAAAGCAGCCCGAGCAAACAGCACAGGGCAGCTTCTGCAAAGCCCACTGCTCCCGAGGGGGCGGGAGCCAGAGGGCTTCACGTTTAGGAAGAGCTACTACTTGCCGTCGCCTCTTTTCAGCTTAAGTCAAAGGCAAGTTGAAGCTTTCAGCCTCCAGGAGCCACAGGCCGACGGATCAACACACACAGGCCAAGGAACGGTGTTTGTCTCTTTTATTTAAAAACAGTGCTTCATTACCATTGGCAAAGGCAGAGGCAGAGCTCTCCCTTCGCTTAGAGTTTATAAAAGCCAGCAACATGATCAATAATTTATACACATGGATAGTAATACAAAAAAAATAAGGAATAAAAGCTAAAGATCTAACTACTCCGACCTTCACAATTCCAGCTACTTGATAATAATAGGAGTAACCCAATGAATACTGTACGGTCTGAAAGCTACTATACAATATGATTCTTAACAAGGGGGGTGGGGATCGGAGACTGTCGCAAAGCCCTGGGGTGCTTCTCTGGAGTTGGCAGGGAAACAGGACCCTGGGCAAGCAGCTCGGGTGCCCCAGAAAGTGGTTCTGGGGAGGGGGAGGGAGAGAAGGTGAGGTGGTCAATTATCCAAGCGTCCCACGTGATGCCCCGCACCCGAAGGTACCTGTTTCCGCCATGGCAATGGGAAGGGCCGGAGAAACTGCGTGTTGCATGTAGGGATGGTTCAGTCCCTGCCATCTGGGGGGCGGTGACGGGTGGGGAAGAGGAGGAGAAGTTCTGTGGCGTGTTCAGCCTTGCAAAGGTTTGGGCTGAAGAGCCTGGAGACGCAGGCTGGGGAGCCTGTCCGGGTCGGTGCGCCCCGCTCTCGGCGCTCTGCAGGCCCCGCTCAGGGGGGTCAGCCCCGGGCTCGCTCCGGCTTTTCACAAGCAGAATTGTAACACAAGAAAAACAACTCATGTCCTTTAGGGGAAAAGTGGGTCAATTCATCACTCGATATATAATACAGCCAAATGAGCTGCCAAAACAAGCACACACACACACACAAATACTGTGAACAGAAAAATACAAGGAAACAACCGCGCTCAGGGTCTCAGTGGGGTCTGGGCACCGCTTAAAGCACTTAGGCCCCGGGAAAACCAAACCAAACGGTTTTTAAAAACCCAAAAACTCACGGCCCCCTGGGAGTCTGGTGTCGGTCCCGGGGAGCAGGGGTGGGGAGAGGAAGGAGAACTGGCGTTCCCTTTCTGCCTGCGGCGTGAGCTGAGCCCTCGCGACACCGGCACCCACGTGGCTGCCGGCCAGGGGCCTGCACCCCTCGCTGGCCGTCTCCTTAAAGGCAAGGTTGCGTGTTGGCTGACGAACAGTTCTCTCAGTTACCAATCCCTGCCAACCAGCACTACCATGGCTGAAGTGACCGACCGTTTTCCTGAGTGAACTGTGACTGGCTACAGTGCCGGTAACGTGGACGAGAACTCAGCTACTACAGCCAACCGCGATACTCCAGGATGCCTCCCCGTCGCGGCTCCTCGTGGGGTTCGGGGACCTAAGAACCTGCTGCAGCCTGGTCTGCAGGTCTCGTTTCAAAGTCAGGTGCCAGGAACTCCACCACGCTCACCGAACCAGAGGGCGCGCGCTGGCTCAGGACCCCCAGAGCCGACGTGGCGAGGGCCCCGCTTCATGCTCTAGCTCTCGGATGGCTATTGCCTGGTTGATCAGTGAAGCAAGTATGAAGGGAGTACAGAGGAAAGGGCAAACGGAGGGAAGAGGCTTTTAGATTGTAACATTTCAAAGAAAAAGTGTTTTATGCAACAGAGACTCAGGTCTCACGGGTGGGTACACACTACAAATGGTCAGACGTTTTCAAGAGCATGACAAAGTAAAAACACAAATTTACGCTTGATGTTCACCTTGCCCACTATATTCTTCCTACCTTAAAACAGTGCAAACAGGTAACTTATGCTTTTAAAACACCACTAACCCTTGCCCACCCCCGCAAAGTCCCTTTCCTCCTATTACCTGGGGTGGGGGGGGATCTGCAATTCTGCAAATGTCACTGTGCTAGAGGGTTGCAAGCAGCAGAGAGGCGGCTTGACTTGGGAAAGGGGAGGGTTGGTGTCCCTTCCCTCCTTACGCACCTAGGGCCTTCCAGACTGCCTCTCACTTGGCCCCGTTCTCCCGCCGGAGGGAAGAGGAGGGAAGAGGGAGGGACGAGCCCTCCTCCTGCAGACCCTTGGAGTTGCCCCGCCCCAGGCCTCCACCTCCCTCCCATCTGGAGGCTGTGTGCCGTCACAGGGTGATGGAGATTTGCGGACTTACTGCTGTATCTCTAGGAAAGTACAACCTAAACTAAGAGCAGTTTCAGCCCCCAAGAAGTCGCACTTTTGGGCAAAAGCCGCTATCACTCATTTCTAAGAAAGAGATCTCCACTCACTGGCCTCAGACTGAGAGCTCAGCCCCAGCCCTCCTCCTTTTCAAGGAAAAGTGAAGGTAGCCCAGTTCTGACCGTGGCTGTCGAAGGGTCATGGCGAGGGCAGCTTCCATAAAACCCGAGGGCCTGAGGGACGAGGCATCGCCCTGGATGATCCGGGTTAACAGAGCTGCGCCACGTAACACAAGGGATTCTGGGAGAGACCTAAGGGTGGCTGTCTGGGCTGAAAGAGGCCAATTCAGATAAAGGTTTCCACTACAGTCTCCTTAAAGGAGCCCAGCTTCTATGAGTAAGAAAGATTTTCAGTAAACAAAGTTCACACGAGGAGCTACAGGGAGCTGCTGGGATCATTCCTGTGCTGCGGTTCAGCATCAGCAAGTGTTTGGAATTCTCGCCCAGGGCCCTCTAACAAACTCACAAGACGCCTGCCTCTTCTGACTGTGGCTCAGTCGGGTGGGAACCTGAGTCAGGCAGCCACGAGCACTGACACTGAGGAACCTGCCTCTGATGGCGTCTCAACGATTCAGGCAGATGGGAGGTCGACACCGTCAAATCTGGGGCCTTCCAAGAGTCCCGGTTCTCAGTGCTGACTCGGGAAACCGCAGGCCCTTTAGGGATAAGCGGAGCTCTGTCTCGTCCTTCTCAGGAGAGGGGCCAGAGGATGCAGTATTCCCAGCACTCCAGGAGTGCAGCAGAACCCCCCCCCTCTCCGCCCGACACACGGAGTTTGCCCTCGGACCCTCAGCCAGAACCAGCTGAACTGAAATGCACAAAAGGTACCCCAGCTCAAGCTCTGCCTCTTCTAAAGGGGTGTGGAAGCCGCCTTCTCTCCACTTACCATCACCCTCGTTGCTTCCTGGAGAAAACAAGACCCTCAAACTCACTGCCTCACTCTCCTCCCTGCCGCGGGCATGACTGTTCAGAGCGTGGCCTTGTCCCCACCCAGGAATGTCTTGCCATTTTGTGAGAATGGCCCCTCTTTGAACATGACACAAAATTTCCATCAGTTTTTTTAGTCAGTAAAAGCTCTCCCTCAAAACAAAAGCGAAAAAAGAAAAAGAGAAAAAAGAAGAATTCCTCTCTGCCCCCATTCTGTAGAACTGTGAAAGCCCCACTCCCCCATTCCCAACTAAAATATTTATATACATACAACAAAAATTGTCTTAACAGCAACAAACCAAACTTTGGCTCGGGGAGGGGAACCCTTAAAAAGTGGCCAGTGGGCTGGGTGGTGGGCTGCCCCCATCCCACGCGTCCCTCTCCAGGGTCACTGAGAACTGCGCCGTGGCCTCTGCGCCCTCACTGTTCCCAGTTTCAGGGCAGGCCCCTCCCATCACCAGGCGAGACAGAGTCCAAGGGGCAGGCCTGCGTGTTCCAGCGACACTCCAGCCCTCGCAGATGCAGTGCCGTGCCGACAAAGAACGCTCGGCGCTGTCGCACGCCAGCCGTTTGAACTGAGACATGCACTGGGAACCCGTCAAGAACGTGTGGCGGCAGAAGGAAAAACACCAACCCAGACCAAACCCATCACACACACGAAGGTCCGAGTCTCTGAACTGCTCCCTTGAACAGCTCTCTCTTGGGTGAAAGGTCACCCCAGTACCAATGTGAACAGACCAGGGAGCCAGACAGACTGTGCACTTTCCATTTTCTAATGCCTTCACCTTGGAACTGCTGCAGGACCCTCGCCTTTATCATCAACAGCCAAGAGCTAGACAAGAAACACCTTCTCCCCTACCTTGGTAACACACACAAAGCTGAAGCCAGGAAGCAGGAGCAGCAACTCGCTGCCACGGCCACCTCATCCCTCTGCTCGCCCTGCAGTGTTCATGCGCACCAAGTGGTCCAGGAGCTCGGCGCGAGTCTTTGGAGGAGATGAGAAGCTGGGTGGGATGGCCACGAGGGCTCAAGACCGGAGAGAGAAGTGACTCACAAAGGCTCCGGATGACAAGAATTCCTATGGCTTTGGAGCTGGTACAAAGTACCTCTGCCTGTCCCCGCGTGCCCAGCTCCCACGCGGCCAGGGGCAGCTGGCCAGGACTCGGCGCTTTATCTTGTGCCAAGAGTCTCTGTTATATGTCTTACGCTTTGTACTGACTTTCTGATGGAAGAGAAAGATCGGGGTTACCAGAGGGCCTAATACCCTTTTTCTTTCCTTTACCCTCTGCACTGGCTCTCGACAATTCGTCCTTCATCCTGAAGCCACGAGAGTGAGGACATCTGGCCACTGGCTCTGTGGTTACTCTTCTGTCCCTGGGCCCTAAATTCCTGAATCTTGAGGACATAGGAGCAGGGTGTTAATAAAATGATAGATGGACCAAGCTGTGGTTCAACTGAAAGGGAAGAAGCCCGGCAGGAATGCTAGGATGGCTAGAAAGAAAAGAATCTTTTTCATACTCCAGAGTTCATTCTGAGATTGGTTTCCTAATGAGGTGTTTATTATCCCCAGTCTGAGAGCACGTTTGGAAATATTAATACTATAATTCCAAAAACTATGCCAACTCTCTCAGGCTGTGCGTTTAAGATGATTGTAAAAAGAATGGAGAAGACAGAGGGAAGAGGAGAGGAAAGTGTCTTTTTAATTCTCCTGCTTTTCAAGCACACATTCCTACCATCTTATCAGCATGTGGATTCCAGCCACAGCCACCAGAACTGCCTGCCAAAGACTGGAAACTCAGAAGACTAGAAGAATATCCTGTCGCAGAAAGATCTCTTCTGCTTCCGCTCGTGCCCCAGCCGTGCAGGAGCAGACGCACTTTGGTAATTCTGTCTGCTGATTTCTGATCAGATGCCTCCTCAGCTCCTAACATCTCTCCTCCATCATTAACTGCCTCTTCCGTGATGGACTGAATAAGCTAAGCACGGACATACAGACATGGAAATGCATTTTTTTTACCACAGTTGAAAAAAAAAAAGAAAAAAAAAGAAAAAATGCACAATCTTTGGAACAAAAGAATTAAAGGCAGAAATTTAAAGGAAAAATACATATTCAAAGAACATAGTGAGGTATAAAAAAGTATTCTCTCTTTTTTTGTTTTTTTTGTTTTGTTTGTTTGTTTTTCCTCTTCATCTTGCTATAGAGTTCCTCTACTAGTAAATATTGCAATAGCCAGGCCTCATGAACTGGGGGGCTGTCCCATTTGCAGGGGTCTCACGTCACTTCAGTAGGGGGCAAATCGGCTGTAGCCACCTCGGTATAAACTCGCCTGCAGTAATTAAAGACAAAAACAATTAAATGGTTGATGAGACGAGCATTAAAAATGAAGAAAACTGTCCTGAGAAGGGGTCTGGAACACCAGCTTCCTTAGAAGCTTCGAAGCACCTGATCAGAGGCTGCCCAGTACAGTGAGGCCGGGAGACCCACTTCTTGCTTCTCAGATGCTCAAACCAGAGCCCAGAACATTTTGCTAACCCCATATTCTCAAGGAGAAGGTGTGTTAGCTAATGGTTCATTTCACTGTTTACATGAATTAGCGAAGAAGGGAAAGTCGATCCAGATCGGAATCAGGCCTGTATACACTTTGATTTTTGAAGCCACGGGTCTTTCACCTTGATTATTACATCACTGCAGTCGTGACCCTCTTACACGTCACCTGCCGACAGAGGACATGTTGCTCTGACCACTATGTCTTCATATCCCACGTCTGAAAGTGTTGGATTTAAACCTGAATCAACCTTGCAATTAACAAAACCTCTCGCCTAGAATCTGTAAAGCGCACGGGTGAGTTGTCTCCTGACATGCCGAGTCCGTACGCATGTTCCATGGGGCCTTCACTGGGCTTCACTCCTGCATTTTCCCTGTACCCCCGGCTTCTCTTTTTCACAGAATATCCCTAGGAACACAGTGCTCTTTCGTTTATTCTTTTTAGTATAGGACTCGTATCATGTTGGTTCTAAAGAAGACCTTAGGAACTTCACCACTTTCTTTATAGTGTAGGTCTCTACCTCAATTCCCACCCTCTGCCCTCCACCCTCCACGCAGGACCTGTTACCTCCTCCCCCAAATCTCCGCCAGTGGAAACCTGCTGTGAGGCACTGACAGGCCCTCTCCCGCTCTTTAAGTCTCATGTCTGACCCGTCACTCTGCCTCCCTCAGAAGCCTCTGTCCACGCGCCCAGGCAGCACCCGCTGCCTTTTGGACCCCGCAGAGTTTCTGGCAAAGGCAGGTGTCACTGCAGAGAGGCATGGTCTTCACTGGAGCCAGAGTGTCCAGGCCGACACGGAGACACTGCAGTGGGGACTGGGTGTTTGCGGGGGGGGAGGGGGGGGTTTGAGAAGAGTCTGTACGTCTATGAAAAGACCGTTTTCCCACAGGTGTCACTAATGAAACGTCTCTGTGAGCCGATCGCCTGGTGGTTTCTAGGGCTATGCACCAGAAGACTTAAGAACAGCAGGGACAACCTTTGGCACCTGCATTTCAAAGTCATACAGAACAAGTTTTTCAAAAGGCTTATGGTGAAAACCGCAGCGTCTCCTGCCTTTAGAACTATGTCACTGGTACACACCCAACATCTGAGCTGATGGAAAACATCAACCTGTCCCTTCTTTCTCTCCCAAACAACGAGCAGACTGCCCCTACATAGTCCTTTCTGCTGTCCCTGACCAGGACATGTGGCTCGCACAATGATGCCCAGGGAAAGAAGGCACATGAACTTTCCAGAAAGTCCTGTGCGGCTTTAATACTCTGGCAGCGGAAGAAGGGCTAAAGGTGCCACCTCCCTAGATCTTTTCCAGTCTGCAGGTAAAAGTCAGAAGGAGTAAAATGTTTTTAAAGAAACTGCACAGTACTTACCACAGCGCCAACTCCATAGCTAGCGGCAGGGGCCAGGGCATGATAGGGGTCAGCTGTGTACACCCTGCCATAACTGGAAAGAAGAGGTACAGTCAGGGAGTGAGGGAAAGGCAGTGGCCCCCGAAACTGAGGGCTGCACTGTACCAGGGCCTGTGAGTGACTTGGTCTTGAAGTGTTACCAGGAAACTGGCAGAACAGAAAAATCCTTTCAATCTCTATTTCTAAACACAGTGCTCTAAAATTCTGAAGTACTTCTCCAAAATGGAAAAGACAGGGGCTGGAGGTGACAGGGGGCTGGAGGTGACAGAGGGGACTGGGGTCAGAGGAGCCAGGGCCACACGCTTTGGGCGTGACAGAAGCCACGAGGGGAAGGCCCGGTCTGCGGGCGGCCCCAGGCACCGGGCGCTGTTTGGGAGCGGGGGAGGCGGACGGCGGGGACACTCCGGGCGGCGTACGTACCCGTCGCTGTAGGCGGCTGCAGCGGCCGCAGCAGCGGTGGCTGCGGTTGCAGTGGCAGGCTGTGCGTACCTGTAGGCTGCGTATCCGCCCTACAGGAGAGAAGAGAACTGACTTTACAGCTACCTCTCCCCGGGGCAGCGCAGCTGAACACACACCCACCCACACGCAGACAGACAGACACAGGGGGACACGAACACGGACACACACGTGGGAAGAGGATGTTTCAAACTGCATCAGTCTACATGTTATTTCTCTAGTGTAAGAGAGTAAGGCCCGCGCAGCGCAGGGCCTTGCCTTCCAATTTGTGATGGTGACAAAAATAAACCGTCTTGGTAGAACCTGTTCTCAAATTTAAGAAATGAAGACACGGGTTTCGGTCTGTCTTCAGTCTCTGCTGGAACTTCCAACAGGGGAAATAGTTACAGGAAGTTGGGAGAACTTTGACAAAAGTATAAACTGCAGAATGAAAACACATCAGGCTTATATGTATTACCCTCAGACTTCCGGATGCTCACTCGGACTGACCAACCACTGAGGGACTGCAGACAGGACACAGGCCCACCCAGAGCTGCACTGCATCAACCTCAAGTGTCTGTCAAGAGGCTAAGACAGGCAGTCTTTAGAAGGGAAAACCAGGCTAGTCCAGGGCTGGCAAACTTGAGCCTGCGAGCCAATGGAACTTGGCGCCTGTTTCTGAGACCGTACGACCTACAAAACTGGAAATATTTACCACTCGGCCCTCTGCGGAAAAGTCTGCTCACTCCCATCTGTATTTCAGACTCAGGCAGACCAGACGACAGATGGCTGACGCCCCTCTGGCCAGATTCAAACAGACTGAGAATCCCCCACCCCAAGCATCTACTCTCCTTCCCTAAAGGATTCTGGACCCTCACATCCCGTCTGAAGAGCAGGCTGGGGGGCTTCCCTCCCAGTGAGACTCACACAGCCCCTCTGTCCTTAGGACACTTCGCCCCAGCCTCAGTGAACCGCACACTGCGCAGGCTGCGCAGTGAACCGCACACTGCGGTCGGCGGACCACAGGGCCTCCCAAACGCAGTGCACAGAAGGGAAACCACAGATGCCATGTGACAGGCTAACGCCAGTGGCAAGCCCTAGCTTTTGTTTCTTCTTCACCCTCCTAGAATTCATCTATGTCACCTGAACGTAATCCAGGTGTGAGTTTTTAGCACCGCCCTTCCCCATCAGACATAACTGCTCAGCCGCCTGCTCCAACAGCGTCTCCAGAGGGAGCGACAGCACGCAGTGGGGCTGCGGGCTAGTGCGTCCGCTGCTCCGACATCTGCAGCTTTCTGCCCTGCACTCGCTGCTTTCTATTCCTTCCAGTGTTCAAGTTCGGCTAAACTTATGCAAAGAATTTCTCATTCCCTTCTGTATAATGCTTCCCTCACATCTCCTGTGTCTGAGGAACAATAACAAACATTTTCTGGTGGGACCCCTGCTCTTCTTAGCCCCCAGATGTGGCAGTTTGTAGCTTGTTGCTTTCATTTCTGAAGTCTTATTTGAAAATATCTGTAATCTCTTGCTGGCTTCTCAAGCCTTTTGCTTCCTTATTATATAATTTATGCTTTCTCTAACCGTGGAAGAAAATTTACTCTTGCTTTTTAAATGTCATCAAAAGTAGCTTCTCATGCATTAAAAACTCCCTGATTAGCTGTCAGTGGTTATATGTTATTCCTTCGTTGTTCTTCCAGGGAAAGGCTTAGAGAAGTAAACATTTACTTCTCAATCACCAGTTCTTTTACGGACACTCACGGGAGGAGGACCACGCTCACTCGTGGCACCACACACTCGCACACTCGCAGTGACAGGGGGACGAACAGGGCCACGGCAGGGAGTGCACGGAGGCCTGTTCCAGCAGCGTGTTCCTGTCAGCTTTCGTCAGCACCGTGGGGGTGGCAGGCCGGACCGGCCAGGGCAAGGTGGTACGTGCATCCTGGCTGCAGCACGTACACATACGTATTGAACGTAGGGTTCCCTTTGTTTGTTTTTTAAATGTTGAAAGAGGAAATAAAGCAATAAAAGCATTTGTTAAAGCAACAAGCTAATAATTATAGTTGAAATTTTAAGCTTTAAGTGAACCTTAAAGGCTCCACTTTTCATTATAACAAGAGTTGGCTCCATTAATTTCAAGTTAAAGTTTGCTACCTTAAAATCCACAGCGGGGTTATCTTTGGAAAACCGTCTTTGTAAACCAGGTGAGTGCGGTAACCAGCCTCATGTGGTTTGTCTTTAACATTCCCTCAAACACCAAAATGATCTTTAAAAATACAAAAAGTTGAGGTAATAAAAGCAATTAAAGCCCAACTTCTATTTTCTCAAGGAAGACATTTAGGATCCAAAGCTCTGTGTTGTGGGGTGCACGGGCGCGGCCAGCCTCCCTGCGATGGAGACCCCGGGGAGTGCGGCACCCCAGCACGCCTCTGAGCTGCACCATGCAAGCTTCTGTCCAGGCCAGAAGGAAGAGGGCAGAATCCGTCTGTGGAGTCTCCCTTTGTTATATGTGAACTCTGAATTTGGGGGCTGAATTTGATGGCATTCTCTGCTGTTGGAATTCAGGAAAACAGGGCAGGGGCACAAATATTTTACAGACCAGAAAAGGCCCATGAAGAGTATTGGCTTTAAGAAAAACTACATCGATGCTTTTCTTTAAAAAAAAACCTAGTTTTTCAACATGAGTACTTTCCTAATTACCTTATGATAATGGTGTCACTGACAGGCCTTTCAAAGGGGGTCTGTGCGTGGGATGGGCAGGTAATAGTCTAAGAAATGAACTTGGTAACTCAATGATGACTAACCCTGAGTTAGGAAAACTAAGGTGTATGTCACAGATTTATTCTTCTTACTCTTTAGTCTTACTCCAAAGTATTTCTGCTCCTGCTCTAAAAAAATTTATTTATTTATTTATTTTTAGCTAAGGGAAGGGAGGGAAAAAGAGAGAAACATCGATGTGTGGTTGCCTCTTGAGCACCCCTACTGGGGACCTGGCCCGCAACCGAGGCACGTGCCCTGACTGGGAATCAAACCAGCGACCCTTTGGTTTGCAGGCCGGTGCTCAATCCACTGAGCCAAGCCAGCCAGAGTTCTGTTCCTGCTTTAAACTGGTTATTCAACAAACTACATTACATAATATAACAGAGAAAAAAAATTCAGATGGATTTATTTCTATTCCAAATTAGGAGTGACTAAAGATTCCAGGCTGAGAAACTTTTCTCAATTTCACTTTTGGCAAATCTAAAGTCTTTTTGTAGAACATGAGAACAAAGTGCAGTTTGAAACACCATGGTTTTCATTACTGTGTCTTAAGGTTTTCCAAAAGAACAAGGGTGGGGAAGGGGCTAGGAGAGACAGGGTTCAGGCGTGGGGAGGGGATATGGCGCCACATTTATTAATCACATTAAAAACTAAGCATGCCAACATCTGGAGCTAGAACAACCAGCAAAATCACCACGTTCAGACTCGTATTGGCTAACTCTATCTATCCCAGCATTCTCTTGGGACAGCGGTTCGCCCTAGGCTCTACCACAAGCTCGGTGAAGTACACAGCCTCAATTACTAGAGCGTGCAGCCACAACGACCTGGTATTACGGAAACAGTCAGTCACCACTGGAGTTAACATTCCATACCCTAACGACTGGCCCCTCCCCAGCCCGGAGAAAGAGGAAATCTCGCCCACCCTAGCCCTGCCCACACCACAATGTTAATAATTATAACAAGCAGTAACCCATCTGTTATATCAGAGAAGGGAACAGAGACTCCACTGAGAGATTTAGAGTGAGATGTTAACATTTCTTCAGCTGACTGCACAAACAAACAAACAAAAAAAAAAAGAGGAGAAATAATTCATCGGGAAATATGAAGTCATGAAATAGCTGATGTGTACTGCTTTGAACCATGCACCGATGCAAAACTGAAGCAACCATTAATAATAAAAATTAAAAAGGACATATGTATTTACACACAATCAGACCTGTTTGATCTGAAGCAGTTTGCAGATTCTATCTGTGTGTGATTTGAAATAAAACAAAAAATGGGGATTAGCATGGCCACAGCACACCCTAATGTAGGAGGGCACACACGGACAGCTTTTTGGAACCCTGATTGCCGGGTAAATTTGGCGTGGCTAAGCCTGATCCAAATATACACGTGCCCCTTTAAAGAGAATTGCTTTCTCATTCCTCTGAATTCCTTCTGAATGACTCCTCGGTCCCCACAGGGGAAGCCCCACAATGCGCCGCTCCCCTGCGCCACCTGCCGGGCCCTGACGGAACTCAGCCCCGCAGCACCCGCAGGCTGTCACGCTGGCCGCCTGTCAACACCCTGCATTCTGAGCACAGCGTTCTTCTCAAATGTTTCCTGTTGAAGCAGCGTGTCTTTTCACACAGCCATAGCATATCTCTGCCTTCAAACTCCAGGCTTTTCAAAGGAAAACGCTGTTACCTTTAAGATCCTTTTGTTGCTGTTAAAGTCTCCATTTCCCACGGCTCAGCGTCACCTCCCATGGACTTTCTACTGCCCTCGGCCCGACCTGTCATCTAATTAGCGCTGCCGCACCGGCCCCGGGACTTTTCAGCACACTCCTGCAGCTGCATTTCACACGAGAACAAAATGGAAGGGCTCCACGTGTCGCCCCTCCTGTGTCTGACCTGTGTCTGTCACTCTATTAGCTAATGTCACACTGGCGGACTGTCCCCTTGTCTTGATTTTAACCTAGCCTTTAATGTTCTATCCTTGTTTTCGGTTTACATTAAAACAGGACTTTGGTGAGCATGTGATGTCAAGACACCTTCGTTCTACCTGGAAGACGGTGACATTACGTGACGTTGAGGAGCAGTGTGGACTTTAAGACCAGCACACAGAATGAGAGCTCGTTCCCTCTCGTGGTGCGGGCTACAGAGCGAGAGAGCGGGGCGGGTGGGTGTGGACATGGCAGGGGCAGCGCAGGGACTGCTGCGGTGGAGCCCGCCGACTGCTGTGGACCGAGCGCGGGGCCTCTGAGACGCAGGCGTTTGTCCCGATCGGATCCCAGCCCCTCCGTTCCCTCGCCCCCCCCCCCACTGAGAAGCGTTGCTCTAGATTGTTCTCCTGTGAGGGGGCTCTTGAGGAGGGTTCTTATGTGGCAATATGGCACCTTTGCTTCAAAGTGAGCAAGACAGATGCACAAAAACTCATGAGAGTGGTACTTATGAAGAAAATTAAATTTAAAGTACTTAAATTTTCTCTTATTACTATTTAAAATTGGGGTTGAGAGAAGAAACTGCTACAATCAAAATGTTCTCTCTCACTTATTGCTTCTAAGATGGATGAGAGGTCACCTTTAATGCACTGACCCTTTCTAACACTCTACTCATTCACGTTTCCCCAAGTCACTCATTCCCCAAATCTCTCTGGTTAGCTACATAAATAAACTAACTGAATTACGAAAAGCTATCCTGGTATCCAGCTACCAGCAGCAGCAAACCTTCTGGTAGTGCACTGTTACCCAAATGAACTCGCTGACCTTGTTCAAGGGGAAAGGAAGTGGAAGGGAAATGCGTGTTTCCACTATAGAGTCCCAACATGTCTAGACGTTGAAGGCAACTTCACCCTCACGCAGCAGCAGCAGAGTCCAGTCCCTGCTCGGGTCCCGCTGCAGGGCCCGGTCTGCGAGTCAGGAGTCCCCTCTCTGCGCAGGCCCTACGTCCCCCCCTTTCTCACTTCTTTCACGGTAAGAAAACGTCCCCACCTGCTAAGATCTCCAAATATAAAAGACCAGTTTAAACACCACTGTCCGACGTGACTGACAGACTAGAAGAGGTGGCAGTGACGGACGGTACATTAACACGCCCGGTGTGGATAGGTGGCAGTGGGACGGGGCACTTAATTTTGGAGGCAGTGCCATCATGTATGAACTTGACTGCGCACTGCTGAGGCAGCAGGGCTTAGATCACACGCTCACAAGTCTTGATTGTCCAAAAAGCCTCTGTTCCCATCTCTAACGTGGAGCTGGAATGGTTAGTATAATTCAATTTTTTTCACTGCAATCCACAATCTGATTGATTGGCAGGTCACACTGGCACTCCTACCTGAGGTATTTTAGCGCTAATGATTGGTTCCTGTAAGACTATTCTATAACAGAACACAGGAAGAGCAGTTCAAAAACACAGCTGTGGAAGGAAAACAATCATACAAAAAGCCCACTACGGGGCCCACCAGCCTTTTCTTTCCTTTGGATGCAAGCATGCTTTTCAAGGATGAGCATTAGGAGCAGTTCGTTACCCAATGGAAAAGTGAATTAGGGTGAAATGTGCCTTTTCTACTGGTCCAAAAAAATGAGGGGGAGGGTGGACACACGATCTCCCTTCTATATTCCCAACCCTTATGGGGGGGGTCACTTTACAAAGCACAGGCACAACTGCTGGATCAGTTCTGCAGAGGAGAATGTGCCATAAAAGAGACAGGGAGAAAATGGCAACAGGGGTTACGGCCTAAAAACAGACACAGAAAAGAAATTTAAAAAACCTCCAAATTAACAGCCTAAATTAACACAACCAAAGCAAACCAGCAACTCAAACTCTTTCCCCTCACGTCACCTGCCAGGCCTGGCACGCGTTCCGTCCTAGACCAACCCTCAACTCTTTCCATGTCTCACCTGCCCTTCTGAGAAAACGAGAGCTAAACATACCTCCAGAGGACTCCACAGGTGGAAAAATGGACACAGAGAAGCAGAACAAACTCAAGGCAAAACAACAGGGTCTCCACGTGTGTGTTTTGAAGACACATCTTTGCTCCCTCACGTATGGAAGAGGGAATATAAAGTTTGAAGGTCCGGTTACGTCCAGCCTCACTCAACAGTTAACTGTCTCCTAGTGTGTTCTGACTTTGCATCAGTGGGTATTACCGCAGCCCTAGTGACCAACTTTTTCCTCCAAGTAATTGCTAAAGATTGGAACTAAAAGAATAACAACATTATTATTAATTCTTTTCATCAACAAGGGGCCATGGATCAAAAAACTATTTTGGTCACTGAATTACTGCCATTTAGCTTGGGGTTGTAATCCAGTAAGTAGATAAAAAACAATTCAAGGGTGTTTTCTCAGCAAGTACAGGAAAATCATCTCTCTTATTAATGAAATCGCATACTGTGGACTAAGGAAATGAGAGAACTACCAACAAATACTTGGTTGGTTGACTTAAAAAGGAGGAAGTAGGCAAACCCTGTATGTAGGGCAGAAAGAAGTAAGCCGTACTTAAAAAATGCCCAAATATGGAACATATCAGAGAGGAAAAAAACTTGATTTAAGAAATAATTCACATGGAAAAGTGTGCTCTAATAGACCAGATTTCAAGACAACAACTTTAATAACATAAAGATGAGTTTCATGAGAATATGGATACTAATGTATGTGGGAGAATGTATATGCTAAGACCACATGTAAATATGTACATTTAGGAAAGTGTAAGTTGGTGTAAGACTAGGATGTATTTTCCTAATCCTCAAGTTTCACTGTGAGCATGGAAAAGAACATACTTTGAACATCATCTGAAGAGAGGTGTGAATTTTAATTAAATGCTAAGAGAGGCAATGGAATGTGGATTGGCTGGGTCTTGAGCATGGCTACACAACCAATTTACATAATCCAGAGTAAGTTACAACCTAAGAAATGTATCTGTGAAGTGACAGGGCTGGGGCCAAACCACGGCTACGGTTCCTTGCAGCACCTGTTACACCAGAGGGCACGAGAAGGCCTACTCTGGAGAGGACAGGTGTGCGCGGCTGCTTACCGCAGGGCCGCTGCGTCCCCTCTCTCCTTGCGGCCACACAGCGCCTCTGAGTATGTTCAGAAAGTGCACAAACGTTTCTGGTCGCCTGGGCATTTTGGGCAGATTGCGAAAAACAGTTCACTAAAAACATACCCTTACTGATTTGGGGAGGTAAACGTGGAGAAAGCATTTCTAGAAAATTGTAGCCTAGGCCCAAGAAATAGTTTCACGGTGAAGAATTTATCTCACCATGAAATTGTTGCTTAATGACTGGTGTGCAGACTGGCCTTGCATTCAGGTAAAGATCACTTGGAGACGTTCCCCAATAACAGACTTCGAAACTCATAAACTTTAACTCTTTGTCATTAGATCGCCTGGTCCAGCTTTTAAATAACACGTGACACACTAATCAGAGACTGAGCTACGGACAGGTTAAATCACGGACTACACATTAGCACGGCTGGCAGAGCCAACAGGCAAGACAGTCCACTGTCTGTAAGGAAAGTCTAGGTCGATGGCTCTTAAGAAAAGAGACACACTGGTGCAAACCTTCTGACGAAGAAGGCCTTAGGCATCGAGCACCCGGTTTCCTCTCATTACCACCCCTCCTCCCTGACATCAGTTCCTGCTTTCACTCCCGTGGGCTAGTGCTCTCTCAATGCACATCAAGGAGGAAAACACAACCCAGAAAGCTTGCTGCCCTCCACGTCAGTCCAAGCTGTGATGGTCTAAAGAGGGATGTGAAATGAGAAGAAGAGCAGAAAAGGGAAGAACTAGCGTGGGGCTGAGCTGTCCTGTTATCTGTGTCCGCACACTGCACGGCAGCAATGGAAGACTTAACCTGCTGATGGTCTCGCAGATACATTAGTGACCCACAGAACATCTGCGGGGAGCAGGAAGGGAAAAGAATATGTCCAGTAGACTGACTCAGGCAATGGTCAGGAAGTCCGAAGGCTTAGTTGTTGCACCCAGGGGCAAGCGCAGTGGCAGAGAAGCATGCTTGCATTCTTAAATATATAAATATATATATATATCCACAAGGAAAAAGAAAACAAAAATTAAATAAATTATATTTATAAAAAAAAACCAAACCAAACCAAAGAAACAGAAAAAAAAAGGCTGGCTTGTCAGGGGGTGGGGTCGAGAAGGCCCCAGTGTGTGTACTTACATAGAGGTCAGCACCGTAAAATCCGTCCTGGTAAACCACACTGCAGAAAATTCACACAAAAACAAAAACAAAAAAACAAAAGAACAGAAACACATTCCGGTTATTGAGGACGGCAGCATGCACATGCGCTCTACACGGGCAGGTGATGTATGAATACGCGCCCTGGGCTCGGGGCAGGGCCGGCCGGTGAGGAGAGGGGAAGGAGGGCGCACGCTGCTGGGCCCCGGGCGTGCGGGCCAGGAGGGGAGGAGTGCCAGCCTGGAGTGGCCACCGTGTGTCGGGTCGGCAGAGCCGACCGGGAGAAACCAACCGGGAGCCTTCCCAGAGGGCCTAAGGTAGGTGCGGAAACTCTGCTGGACAGGAAACATCAACTTTTCACATCTGGAGTATTTTTAAAATGAGCTTGCCCTAGGAGGGAGTTTCTCTTTAAAGAGACTCAGAAGGTGCGTGTATTGTGGGTGGGGGCGTGGGGCTGAATGGAACCCAAAGAATTCCATCAAGGCAGGACCCAGTAAAAGTAAACTTCAAAATTATGTTTAGTGTTTTACTTTTCATAGTAATATGTGAATTCTTTCTGATATCCATACATCACCTGCTTTTTACCCTGCACATTAGACATGCGATAAGATTTGGCTGATCACACAAGCATGCAAAGTATTATTATTCAGCATTTTAAGAACCAATGCAACACCTCGGAAAAACAAGTCAATCAATTCTGACCAAAGTAAACAGAGAAATGTAATTAAAAAAAAAAAAAAAACACAACCAAAAATACCCACAATGCATTGCTTTCACAAGCAGAGATAATGAGCTAATAAAGGTTAAGGTGATTGGTCCAAGGTCCAAGAATTGAAAGGTGCAGTGGGGATCCCAGATAGTAACAATATAATCCAGAGTGGGAAGGAGTAACTAGATGATTTTAAGGGTTCTTTTTTGACCATAAGAGTATTCATGGAATTCTGAAAAATACAATTGTTAACTGAGGTTCTGGGCGTGACCTGTTCTACTTAAAAGAATAAAATGGAAAAGGTGGCTGGTTAGAAGCAGAAGGGTTTATTTTCCTGTTTAGAAAATTAATTTGTATCAAAGTACATGACTTTTTGTTTTAATCCTTAGCAACACTAAACTATTAAAATACAGATTTTGAGCTTTTAGAACTTACAGATTTGGGGAAATTACATACCCTTCCACATGTAATTTCCCCAAAACATTACTTTGGGACCAAGAGACACAGAACAGTGGCAAAGATAAAAGATAAGACTTTCTTCTTCATATTTGTTAAATCAAGATTTGGTTATTTTAAATGAGAAGATCTGTTTATTGTTTATTCAACTAAACACATGGTAAAATTTCACCACTATCTTCTCTGTTACGATAAACAAGATAGCAAGCGGAATCATCAAATTGTATGTTTAACTTGAACATGAAATCATTTCTTTCTTGTAGGTAGCAGGGTAAGTCTCTGAATTGTACTTCCAGTGGCATTTTGCTGTGTTTACAGGACAGCAGGGTCATATTCTGCATTGCCTCAAATATACGGTGTCTTTGAATTACACAGCAGGCAAACTAAACTCATCTGTGATGTTCATTTAGCTAAGTGTTATCATTTTCAGAGTCTGCAGTTGCAGTTAAAGAACGATATTAGAAAGTAATCCGCCTCTCAACTGCATTTTTGTAAAGAAAGAGACTTGTTCGTAACGAGAAGGCTGATAAAATGCGAAGCACTGATGCCAAGTGGTGATTAGTTAGCCTTCGACTATTTCAGTACAGGGACAGAGGCAAAGATTAAAAACATTTCTTCTATAGAGAAAAGTGGTGGCATTATAAACATGAGTAAATTTCACACTAAGCTGTATCACTTACTGGGCACATCCACCCAGGGTCTAAAAGAACTCCCGTACACCCTGTATTGAACGCCACAGGAGGCTAGAACACAATGAGTAATGATGGAATCAGTTTCCTCAGCCGAGAAGCAATTTTAGGCCATTCCCCATAAAATACTGGACTTATTCCTTGCCATCTTCCATGTAAACAGGCAGTTTAGTTAATACAAAAGAAAAACACGGGCAATTAGTGTTCAATATAATGTGCACAAATTGATGTGATTAGACATAAAGATAAAATATCTTTGAGCAAATATGTACCTGACACGGGCTTGGTAGTGAATGGGTTTTCAAGTTTGCCCAATATACTGAAATGACCTGCATTTAACAGGAACGAATTCAACCCCTTCACACAGTGACTCAGGAATATCACAAACACAGAAGTCCCGTGTTTCTGGTGAGCGGTATCTCTGTGCAAACAGGACGGTAAACTCTCTTGGATCGAAATGGAAGACGCTTCACGAACAATTTTCCTAGTGTAGCAAAAGGTCTGCTTTTATGTTTTTACTCGAGGATTTCTTGAGGAAACTATACTGCATCTTTGTTAATGTCTTTAAAAAGAGATGTCAGAGGTTGAAGGTCAAAGGTCAAGAAGAAGAAAAAGGATAAATTAAAAGTAATGGCAGAAGATGGAGATGATGGAATGCATGGGACTTAAACATCTATACACTGCAAACAGAAGTTTATTTCTAAAGCAGTTCCCTTCCACTGGCTTTTAGAGCCTGCCCACTTCAACATGCACACCTGCCTTATCTAATAAAAATGCTTGCGTTCTGTGTAATGGAGGGCCCCTAACGGCATGTCCATTTGGTCTACGGATGAATGCTAAATCAGCAAATCTGAAAGCCAATTTTGCTGGCAGAAAAGGACCTACAAAGGAGGCTCTTTCCTCTGCCACTATGTTTATTCCTCCGTAAGAATGTGGGAAAAAAACCTGTCACAGGCAGAGAAAAGATGAAGAACACAAATGTCACATTTTTGAGGAAGAAAAGTCCTTGACACCACTAACTTACAAAAAGTGCACTACAAAAATATACATTTTAGGCTGACACTGAGAAACACGTGAAAACGAAACCTGCCCTCTTCACTCCTTCTCCCCGTTCAATAACAAAGGATTCATTTGTTGCTATGGAATCATTCCACTGCGTGAGACACCTCCACACAAAAATCAGAGGGTGAAGGATGCTCGGCTGCGTTACTCGTTTTACCATCATTCAGAAGCCAACTGTAGTTTAATTCTTCCTACTGCTCCCTTTCTCCCTTGATTCAATTGGACTTGGTTCATCTTTGAATTAACCTCTTTTAATCTGTTTCCTACAAAGAAAGCAAATCCATTGTGGGTAACTAGCTCTGCTGCTCACCACCCAGGCGGTAGAACCCCGAGGGAGGGCGCGGGGCCGCCTCAGCCCCGGCCCGGGGTGGTGCCGGGGGCGAGCGCAGCAGAGGCAGTCTCGCACTGCAGCCTGGAGCTCTCGTCTCGGTCTCCGCGGCAGTGTTAATCCACGTCCGTCCGTGCGGTGCCAAGTGAGCTCCATGCCAACACATCGCTGGTACACACAAGGCAGCTCTGGCTACTGCCTTAAGCCACTACTGTGAGGGCTTAAGGTGGCCAAAATGAAGATTTATATAATAAATTTATATTTGTCATATTCTGACGATGGTATATTTTGGTTCTTGCCATAATCCATTAATTTGCAAATGTTCACAGGTCTTTTACTAGGTGGCACAGCAACGTCCCAGAAGTTACAAGAGAGCCATGGTATCTCCTTGTCCAGTTGCTTATTTTGGAATCTAACACTTACCCTGGATAGGCGGGAATGGCTGTTGGGGGCACCGCTCGCACGGCACCATACACCGTCCGCCCCCGGCCCCTCAGGTGGGCTCCTCTGAAAGCGGCCGCCGTGGTGGCTGCAGTTGGGTAAGGAAAGCCGGGAACTAAAGGGAGACCCAAAATAGGACGGAAATGTCAACCTGCATTCAACGGTAGGTGTGCAATCACTACGTGCTTTGAACCAATTATAGGGAAGACGAAAAAGTATGCACAGCATCTGTCTCCCGAGAAAGAACGGCAAGAGACCCAAGAGGCAGAAGCCAATGGTGCCATGCCTTGCCGATCACAAATCCCAAGTGAGTTTTCTCTGCTCCCTCCCAACGCCGGCGCCACAGTGCCGCCGGCGAGACAAAGCTTAAGAAGCCCTGAGAACTACTGTCACAGTAAGGAAGGGGACTTCGTTTCTGTGAGCAGTTTAAGTGGCTTGATTGAAACGCTTTCACTGGTCAATTATTCATTTGTTTGTAAACATTATTATGTACACATCAAAATTAATCATCACAGAAATTATTCTTTTGTGGTTTCAGAAGGTGCAAAACAACAGTCTTCAGACATTTCATCTCATTAGCCAACTTCAGTCTTTTAAACATAAGGGGAGAGGGAGACGACCTTTCCTTTAAAGAGGCAGGCCTCGTCTACGGGTCTGTTCTGAGCGTGCTCTCCTCTGGAAGCTGTGCAGAGACACTGATTCCAGGTCCCCAGAACTCTGTTTAATGATACCTTTTTCTGGGGCAAAATGGATCAGGCCAACAGAGCCGGGAATAATCCTGGAAGTGCTTTTAAGTGACGCTCAACCACAGGGCCCAAGCTGACTGAGAACATGTATGATGTATTCCGCAAATACTTCTTTTGCTTTATATCAAAAACATACTGAAATGTTCTTTACATGCCCTCACCCCCCTCTGCCTTTTCCAACTACTTATGCTTTGCGGTGATCTTCATACTTGGGCAGAAAGACTCTAGCACAGGCTAGAGCAGGACAGAGCACAGCGGCGGTGCTCTCTCCGACCACGCCTCCTTCTCAGGTAGGTGTTAATATACTCGGGAAGAAAAGACCTCTCACACATCATTGCTTCCGAGTCAAATTCCATGCCAGGCCAACATAGGCTACTTACTGATTAAAGGAATGTAAGTGTTGATGCCCCCTCTTCCTGACAGGGGCACTGCCGCGTCATTGCCTAGGGACACATCTGCTTGAAAGCTGGATGCTGATCACATTAGAAAAAAAAGTAAAAATGCAAAAAGATTACAAAGAAATAGTTAGTGCGAAACAACAGATATTGTTACAATTAAACAGCACACGTGGGAAAATCAACTTAAATGCTACCTGCATATAACTCGGGCCCATAAACAGCTCCAACTACAGGGCTCAATTTCCAACCTGAAAAACAAGAGAGGACAGTGAGCACTTAAGGGCAAAGGAGTGACGTACAAGTGGGCTGCAGACATCTGAGCTTGTTTTTGTTCATTCCCATCTTTTCTTTAGAATGCAGCTGGGGTTGATGAGAGGGTGACGACATTTCTAGACCCAACTGTCTTTAAGCAGGTCTAGCACAGTGAAGGGTTACTGAGGGGTGGGGGGAGAGGGGGAAAGGGGAGGAGAGAAAAAAATTGGGAGGGAGATAGGAAAATGGAAAGGGAGTGAGAAAAGGAAAAAGAAAAATAAGTCTTAGGGTTTGGTAGCATCTCACAGAACTGCCTAATGACCTATTCTTTGTTTAGGAAAAGGAAAAACGCAGACTATAATGCACAAGGGGAAAAGCCCCCAAACCCTGGGATTTATTTATAAAAATTGTGTATTTATTCTTACACGTTTAAACTTCAGGCACCTTCAAAGCACTCTCCTTCTGATGCAATACTACTATTGAGACATTTTTCCACTGCTCAAAACAGTATTTAAACTTACTGATTTTGATGCCTTTTACTGCTTCTGCCATTTTTTTGATTTCACCTCTTCCACATCTATGAAACATTTACCTTTGAGGACTTTTTTCATTGGGGAAAACAAGAGAAGTCACTTGGGGCAAGATCAGGTGAATAGGGACGGTGGGGCACGGGGGTCTTTGGTCAAACACTGCTACTCAGATGCAGTGTAGGTAAGTGAACTCCTAAATCACCCATCGCGAAATGGGCAAGAGCGCTGAGTTTTAAAGAAAACTCAGCGAAGCCAAACGCATCCTCTCAAAACGCCACCAGCTGGTACAACGCTCCTACAACACAGGGTTCCTACAACACTGACCCAGTGGGGGAAGAATGTACTACAAGGGGCCTGCCCTCCAGAAGATAATTCCAGTTTTTTTGGGGGTCGCCCCTCATATGTCATCCTATACCACACTGTGATAAACTTTCTTATAAGCTCATCTTAACACTATTTACTACTCTAGTTGTTTTCTACAGATATCCTTTGACTAATCTCAAATTTGACCTGGATCTTTGAACTCCATGTTCGATTATACCATGCTGATGGTACTCTGGGTAAACTGAAGCCTCCTTTCACTGAGATTTCATTGTCAACCAGAAGAAACACAAATAATAAAATTCAGGCTATAATACCAACTTCAACGTATGTCTTTTGAGATTTTAATTTGTAATGAACACATTTGAGTTAATCCGACCTTTCAGCTAAAGGATATTAGACTACAGTTGAACATTAGCTTAAACATTTATAAATTTTAATTATTTCCAAACATTAGGTTTGGTGTCAAAAGTATTTCATCATTCCTTTTTTATATTTATAGGAATATAACAAGTGTTAGAAAATGTACTACTGCCCAATGTTAATGATTAGAATTACATATAAAATTTTTAATCAATAGATATTAAATATTATACATAAATAAGCAAACGTGCCCACTATGCTTCTGAAAGACTGGCTCTTTGGTTTATCTCTTTTATATTAGCTTAAGGGCCTAACATTGTATCACTGCTACTCTATAAAATTATAAATGGAAAAAAGAAAAGGTCAATCATCAGATTTTAATGGCTACATTATTCAAGAGAACACCCATTCATTCTGAATCAATCCCAACCTCATTCATTATTTTATGTGCTCGCAGACATGCCTCTTCATTATTCTACCAAAAAATCTGGGTTCAAATCCTACTGGAGTTGTGAGAGCCCAAATGTTCTGCAAGATCAGGCAAATCAAGTGATTCCACTAACATAAAATCAATGCTGAGGATTCACCAAGAGTGGGCATCTAGCCACTCCTGTTAGGCCCTTTAACACCGCAGACACAGTTTCCTAAAACGGGGCTCCCTCAGACTTAGAGACTGATGTAGAATGGTATTCACAACGACCCTGGTCTTTCCGACCAAGGGCACTATTATGTAAGCACCACCTGTGAATGCATGCAGTGGACGCAGTAGTGTGCTGTCTATTGTATGTTTAACATGGTCGGTTGTGTACAATTTACAGTGTATGTTCAGATGTTTATGCCATTTTGACCCTCACAAAACCCAAGACAGGGACCGCTGCTGGGACGATGAGTACTCCACTTCCCTGGGCTCCGTTTCCCGCCGAGCAGTCAGCGAGAAGGGCTGGGCCCTGGAGGCATCTAAAGAGTGGTCCGATGCTCCGACTCTTGCACCTTACAGACAGGAAAACAGCCAGACAGGCTGGGAAACCGGCTCCCTGTCCCGAGTGAAGAGTCAAATCTGGAAGTAGGATCTGAATTCCAGTGGCTCTCTCTGCCACACACTTCTCCCTGGATCTAAAGGGAATCTGATGTTCTTTGACTCTCCCTCCCTTTATTTTCTTTTTGGTCTACACTCGATTTTTGTCGAAATTGCAGATATCTCCATTTTTGTGGTAGCAGTGAAAATGAGAGGTAGGGTGAGAGGTGGTGGTATAACATGATACATCATTGATGAAATACGTAGGAAAAATGCAAATTGTGCTGATTTGTATCATTGGAAAAGCTGGGTTACACCCAATACTAACAAACTTGTGTTTAATACATTCCCCAGCACTCAGTGCCACTCAGCAGTTCGATTCAAAATTTCACAAAACGCTAAGAAGGGAGAAATTCCCTCTTTTATTCTGCAGAACTCTAAAATATCAACAGGGAATGAATTGCTCAGACCAAAGTATAGCTGGAGGCCTCGGGACCCAATCCATTCAATTTCCTTTTCCCACAAGATGGTCTTGTAGAACACAAGTCTGCAAAACCACTCCTGCACAACAGAGTAGAACTACATCCCATCTTACTCAGAGAACACGAGTCTAGATTAAATTGGACAAATGATGTAAAATTTTGTCTCTGCTACATAGAATAGTGAACAGAAAATTTTCTTCTCAATGAAAAATATTTAAAACACTCACATGTAGTCATGGAATAGAAAATAGAAAACACCCACCCCATGGCTGTTACCTCTACAAAAAAGGAGAGCGAGGGGTCAACAACTACCCTACTCACGCTCAGACGGACAAGAACTGGCAGGGAGGGGTACCAAGGACAAGCGTGACGATGCACACAAAGAACTACAGCAGCCCCAGGGCCTGCCTGAGTCACCAGGTAGCCACGAACGACCCGTGCACACTGTGACTCAGAGGAGCTCTGCTGACACCACAGCACCTGAACTCCTAAAACAGTGAGCTGAATTCTAAGAAAAAAGTTTATTTCTAAAAATGAAGCACCCTCCTCGGTTAAGAAAATACTTTGATGTAAATGAAACAAGCTGCCATAAGACTAAAATTGAAAGAGATTCTTTGATGTCTATGGGAAGCTCATATGTACACAGAACAATAAATGGCGTCATCCTGAAGATGACGTGTAGTTACCATTTGCATACGGCGTGACCATCTTCTTGTTGGTCATCACGCGTGCTGTAGCGTTGTTCACCTAAAAGAGAAAGAGGGGGCGGGGGGGTGGACCACATTAAGGAACATGGAAGTATGCATCTAATCACATACTCAATTTAAAATGCAAATTTCAGAGTGCTGACTTAAATAATTAATATAGCGATATAAAATATTAATATACAGTATTTTAATTAAAGTGTTCATTAAATGAGGCTAACAAGAGTAAAATGTAGTTTCTTACTCTCCAAATGGAAAACTAGGGCCACTTCTCCACCCAGCCCTCCAAGGACAAACGGCATTTGCAAACTCTGGAGCTCTCTTAAACAGAGAAGTCTCCGTATTAAGGAAAATATAAAAAAACAGTAAATTAAAAACAACTGTTTTCACATGAACTCTGAAGTTCATTAGTAAAACAGAGGCTTGCCACATGGGTCAGAAAATAGATTTACAGGAAGGTAAGAAAATAAACCTGTGGATTCCACCTATTCTAATGGTCAGCATTCTGATGCTCTTATGTCCGATTTTCCTGTTTGAAGTTAGTTGACCAACACAGGGACTCAGACTTCCATGTTGACAGTCTTCAGAGCCGCTGCGAATTTTCTAGACTGCGTGGTCTACCTATCTATAAAGAAAGTTCTCAGGAGGCCTTTCAATGAGGCACTTAAAAGAACTGAAGAAAGAACTGTTTACAGTGCTGGCCACCCTCACCAGAGAACAGCATCACTTAAAGCATCTCAAGGTGCAGGGAAGAAGGGGAAGCAGAGTTGGTGAAAGTGGCCTGAAGTCAGGGCATGGCCACCCAGTGGCGGAACCAGCCTCTGAGCTTTGACGGGGGGAGGCCTCGCCAGTCTCATTACACTGTGTTGTCAGGCCATGAAACTGGTCAGTTTTGAAAAAAAAAAATCAGCAAACATACAAAATACAAATGTCTTATTTTGCCTCTGGGGAATTTACATTATTTTAAATTTGTGTAACAACAATAAATTTGTGTTACAAAAAGACCAATTTTTAGGTAGAATTGGAACTAAAAAATGTTTCAATATGTCTTTTAGGATTTATATAGTGGTGACAGGCCTATGTGAGGAAAAGAGCTTGAAACTCCATTTACTCTAGTTGACCCACCAAATACTATAAACATTTCACATTTAAAAAGAAAGAATGAGATACAACAATGATGAGACTGAGAGCATGCTGTTAAAAAACACACACACACAAATAAAAGAAAGGAAAACATAATCACTTCTGGAAAGAAGGGAGAAGTGAAGAGCGAGGTTCACAGACGGGAATGAAAATGGGGCAAGAGCTTATGGTAGCTGCTAGAGCAGAATGCACCCAAGCACTTAAAAGAAAAATGGCCAGAACCAATCAGAGGCCACCAGTCAGCAAAAGAGACCAATAGCTGCATGTAACAGAGAAAGGGTGGGAAAGGACGGCAGCAGAACTCAGGAGGATTGAACGAAAAGGCAGGGAAAAGAGAAAGTCAAGGAGGGTGTCACGGGCGGGAAGGAGAGCCATCAAGGGCAAAGAAAGAACAGTCGCAGCTCTAAACAGAGGTTTGGGAAAGAGGAAAAGTAGGAAAGGAAGCAGGGTCAGGAAATGCATTAATAAAACCAGCCAAATTGGAGTTCAGTAACTCTGAGTAAGATGTGCAAGGGGGAAAAGTCACCATGACGTCAGTATCAAACAGCTCAGACCGCTACAAAACAATGTACATACAAAGTCCAGGCGGCATCACTCAATAGCATTGAAAAGAAAAGGGGGGGAGGGAGAGGAAGAGGAGCAACAAGTCAAGTCACATTTCGTCGTGTTAATGTGAGATGGCAGATGGACTTTTTCTTTCTTATTTAATTGTTTTCTAATTACATTTTATAAAGCTTCTTCTCTAGTGCTTTGGTTTCACTTACCGCCAACGGGCACCATCGCCAGCTTTGTGTATAGTTACCATGGAAAGAGTGACTCAAGTGAAGGGCCCTAAATGCTAAACCATTGGAAAGGGAGGGGGGAAGAAAAGCAAAATATGCAGACATCTTACTCAAAATGGTGGCTTTTATATTTCATACTTTTCAAAACTGGGAGAGGGGAAAGGAGCCAGTTAACCTTCATCGCCTTTTTAAGAAGGGCTGGTGAGCACCAGACGGCCGACTCAGTTGTAACGACAGCACGCTCACCAGGCAACCATCAAACCCTCTGTTTGAGGGTTTCTTGACATTAAATATATTGGATGAGTTTTGGATTCTTTCCTTCCTCCCCACAACCTCTATGATCTTCTATTCCTTATTTATCACACACACATGGAGGCGAACTGGCCTCCCGAGAAAGAGAGAGAGAGAGAGAGAGAGAGAGAGAGAGAGAGAGAGAGAGGGCATTGGCTGGCCCCTTGATTTATTACAAGATACAATGTTATAAATTGGAGAGTGATAGACATTTTTAAAGTTTGTTTTACTTTGGTCTGATCACAGGAATTTGGAGTCTTGCAAACTGAAGCAAAGGAAAAAAATCAAGAGAGCAGAAGGACGAGCACTTTGGAAGAAAAAGGTAAACGAAAAGTACACACACACACACACACACACACACACACACGCTAGTAAACCAGACTTAAAACCCCCAAACAACAAAAAAGGCAGGGAAGGAGGGTAGAAGTGTTACTTTTATACATTTTAGTGCGAGGAGGTAAAGGACACAGAGACACGAACACACACACATGTGCCACACACACACAAAACAGGGTTCCAAATGTGAAATTAGTGAGGCAATACACAAAAAGAGAAACAAAAATATGAACCAGAAATTGAATTATTGAAGACATGCACCTCGATTTTACGGCCCTCTACCACGGTGCCGTGTAATTTCTCCCTGGCCCTGTCTGCATCAGCACTATTCTCGAAAGTTACGAACCCGAATCCCTGCATGCAGCGGGAGAAGGGGGGAAAACATGCACATCGTTATAGTGAAATACTGGTCCCGTGGTAAATAGAGAAAAAAATATCACAGTATGAAACTGACATCAGCAACAACTCAGCAATATGCTCCCGAAGTCACATTTGTGGACCATGCATATTTTGTAAAGGGAAATTAAATCCACTAAAAGAATAAAGAACTGTAGTGGTAGTAATAATAATAATAATGTAATTAACAACAATAATAATAATAACAAAATAAAACATAAAGCATGTGAGGCCAGACCAAAATTAAGGTACAGAGTTACTCGGGTCAAATTATTCATCCAAAAATTTGAGTAGTTAAAAAAAATGTTTCTACCTTTCTCTTTCAACTCATGCTGTTAATATTTGTGTCCCTTTAAGTAATATTAAAAACTACTTCATTAAATCAATTATTCCCTAATAACTTCTACATGAAACCTGATATTTAAGTATAATCATTATATAATGGAGATTTTTTTGCAGGTCTAATCATTTTAGCCCCATTTTGCCTCTTGCTCATACCACCATTAATTCCTTTGGAAACAGGATAATTTAAGACAAATCTTTACAGTTCTGTAGGCACCGTGCATGGTGAGGGAAAGCAGGCACGTTCATTTAAGCAAATGTAACTCTCACCACGCAGGAGTCAGTCACATATGACACTTCTTCAGTGCCCATTTTAAGTGACCAGACTGGCACGGAGTAAAAATGCAGGGTGGGCAAAAGTGGGCTGACGGTTCTGAGTGCACAGAACAGTTTATTCTGTGCTGCTGTTAAATTACTGTTTTACTTTCCATACAAACAACTCGAAGCCTACCTTCGCCCACCCCTGTATGTTCAGCTGAATTTCAAAAAACTGCTCGTCCAAATTTACCAAAGTTGTTGTACCTTTGTTGATATCTACATCTACTACTACATGTATTAACAACTTCCCACACGTAGAGAAAAAAGGAAGTCAAAAAGGCAATGGACATGGAATCTACAGTAGTGGCATCGGTTGCACACTATTTAGCAGGAAAAGAACACCATAAAACAGCAATATAGCTGCTACTCGAGTTAGGATTAATTCATCTGTATATTGTAGATACTGCCAAAAAACAAACAAAAAAAACCACATGGCTTTATTTAGTTCATTACGGGAACAAAGCAGGAGACCAAGGAGTTAACCCACTTCATTGCTCAGAGTATATCTGAAAAGACCGTCTGGGTTATAATACTACTGTTAACTTCAACATCAGCGGGATTTACAACATTCTTTTTTTTTTTTAAGGATTTACTATATTCTTATACAACTATTTCACAAAGTATTATATTAGTTTCCTTTTAGGTGCTTTGCAACTAAAATTTTCTCAAGCTATTTACATCTGTAGAGTGGTTAATTCTTAGTGGTTAATTCTGGGAAACGCCTCATTTCTCAATAGCTTCATTGTCCCTCTAGCATTCTTTGAACATTTTGTCCTAGAATAAGGATAACCTGGATTCCTTCTGTTTACTCATACACAGACCTTGTTCTTCACTGAGATGGCAAACTGTGCCTTGCCCAGTAAAGTTTTATAACAGCAACTGCATGATTTTGGAGGACCTGGCTACACAGAAGTCTAAACGCTCACATGGCTGGGGGAGAAGCACGGAGATTCTGAAGGACCGTCTCTACCACCACAAACGCCCTAGAGCGAGCAATGGTAAAACTTTAAACATGTGCTGCTTGGGATAGAACATTATGGGTAACTGTAGTTAGTATTTCCCATGTAAATGTGTTGAAAATTTCAATGGGAACACATTTGGAAAGTTAAATTTTGATGTGGGAACTCTGACAACTCTGGATATACAAGGGCAAGTTACTAATTATACCATTTGTTGTTTACACTGGATCTGAAGACAGGAAACCAATTCTCAAATTCTGGAGAATCCTCCAAAAAGTTAAACCTTTTAAGAGAGTTCACAGATAGCGATGAATTTTTATATCACATTTTAGGCCTTGGGTTGAGTTCCTAACACATTAGTACTTGTGTAACAGATTAGGTGCAGACTAAAGCCAGAACTTTAAGTAGCGTGTTATGACTGTATCTACATACATAGACACATATGTACATGTTTGTCTTTTAAATACAACGATGGGGCCGAAAGGATAAACCTGTGCGTTCCTCTAGAAGGTAAAGAAATGGAGTCAGCCTGAGGTTAAGTACTCGATCACCAATAAGGCTCAAAGCATCAACGAAGCCTTCTTCATTCCCTGTGGCTTCCTCCTGCAGCTAATGGTGAGGAAATTAGAAAGAAATTCAGCTTGAAATCTAAGTTTTCTATTTACTAAACTACATTAGTCCCAAAGTCCTTACAATTTTCTTTCTCAAACCTCACTGCTGACTGTGTTCTATGACCGTCCCTGCTGGAGTGCTGGCAGGACACCCGTGGCACACTGACCGCATGTTCTGCAGTGTCACAAATCCCGACACCACGGAGTCAGCAACGGCCAAGTTTAACATTCAAGTTTGCTTGTGTAAGATCTTTGTCAATAGTGACCTTAATATTCTGGAAAAACAAAGGTGCTTATTTCTCCAATAAAATGCTAATCAAGATACCAAAGAGAGGAGAATAAAGCCATCCCTATAGGCATCTGCACCTCGGGGAAGAGGAGGAAGGACTTAGTACTTTGGGAGACCTGAGGGGAAGCAGAGGTAAGAGGATTTCTTCTTCCCTTTGAAGATAAATGGACCTTGCCCCGCAGAATAACGCCTCCGACCCATGTCCTAATCCCCAGAACCTGTGAATATGTTACCTTACAGGGCAGAAGGGACTGTGCAGGTGTGATTAAATTAATGATCTCGAGACAGGGCAATCAATCCGGGATTACCCAGGAGAGCCCAGCCAATCACCAGGGCGGGCACCGGCCTGTGACAGAGGGAAGCAGGAGGGTCAGCGCTGGAGTGTGGCAGCCTGAGCAAGTCTGGCCTGGCCACTGCTGACAACGGATTTGGAAAGGGGCTGAGGCCAAGCGGCCACCAGAGCTGCAAACGGTGAGGAAGTGGACTACCCCTGAAAATCGCTGGAGGGAGCGCAGCCCTGGACTCTTTGACTGCAGCCCAGAGGGACTCATTTTGGATGCCTGTCCTCCAGAGATGTGCGGTAATGAACCCATGCGGCACTGAGCCACCACATTTGCAATAAGGTGTTCAGAAGCAACAGGACACAAGTATAAACCTCCCAGAACTAAGGTCTGATCAGGAAGGTGAGACACACAATCAGCATTTTAAACACACTGGTCTTAAAATACTCTTCTCTCATGTTGAAACTTCAAACAGGTCATTTCCTACCAACCCAACTGATACTTCCTTATCTATCACATTCACAGTTTGGTTTCATGAATATTAATTCATGAAATAATTATTTAATAATGTTAAATAAAGCCTGAAAACTTGTTTTAATGGACAGTGTTTTTCAATAAAATTTCACATTTTTGAAAAGGTGCCAGGAACTCATTAAGGATATTCAGATTGCCCAGGCTTAAAAAGTTACTAATATGAAAATATGCTCACATAAAGTTATGTTTTAATATCTCTTCATTCTCAAAAATCTAATTCTTACTACGTTTGGCCATTAACATCTCTTGCTTTCAAAAATTAATAAAATTATGTCTAATCCTGACACGTTTTCCCAAGAGCAGCTTCAAAATGAGCATTCAGTGTATCAAATAGGGAAACTAATAACCAGTCTGAATAGCTTCAAAGTCAAACTGAGATTTAATCTCAAACTCTTAACAAGGGTAAATGTACCATGTATGTAAGAAGATTTTAAAAAATAGCTAAAAAGTGAACTTTTATTTTTAATTAAAAAATGATATTAGCGGTGTCTGTCAACACCAAAGTAGCTACCAGATAGAAATGTAACATGATCCACATACATAATTTAAAATTTTCTCCCAGCCACATTAAAAAAGCAAAACAAGGTGATATTAATTTCAAGAACTTATTTTACTTAACCCAATATATACAACATACTGTCATTCAAATGGGCATCAACATACAACCATTACTAGTGAGATATTTAACTCTCTTTTTCACATCGGTGTGCACTTCACACCAAAGGCACATCTCAGTTTAGATTCACTGCATTTCAAGGGCTCAACACGGCCGCTGTACCAGACAGCGCAGGTCTGCACGCTTTATACTTTCACCCGAGGTTCCCAGTCCCCAAAGTCCTTCTATGGTAACAATGTAAACACACCAGTGTAACACTAGTGATTATCAGCTATCTTAGCTGTCTCTTGGAAACAGAGGAATGGTGTGTTTGCTGGTTGTGGTTAAAGCTTCTTGTGAGTGACAAAAATTTTATCACCTGCCTTGACATCATCAAGGGCACATAGGAGCCGAATAACTGTCACCTTTTTAGTCTGGCCTCAGGCTGCAATAAATAACAAGCAATAGGATGAGCATTGTAAATGTATTTTTTAATTTGTATAATCTTTGAATTTTTCCATCTCAGAAGAATGAGAAAGAAAATTTACCATGTAACTTTTTAGGGAGAAATCAAAAGCAGACGGTTCTCCTGGGTATGGCCAGAACACAGAAATTAAAAAATAAATAAAAGAAAAATAAAACTAAAACCCATAAAATGGTAACAAAAGAAAATAAACTAAGCCCTTTGTAAATACATGCATTGTTAATTCAGTTTGAAGTATAATGAAAAACATTTGACCTCAGCATTGCCTATCAAATTTTACTGAAAATCACAAAAGTCGACTTAGTACAATTTCAAAGACAGTCTTTTGACCACATTTTGAAAGAAATAAATATTATTCTTTTCATGAAATTGAAAGCCAGGGAAATAGGCAGGAAATTGGAGCACAACACTCATGTCTAAGGAACAGAAATGGAGATTCTATCTTTGCTAACTTGTAGCTTAAACTTAAGCCCAGCCCCAAAACGTATCTCCATCATTCCAGAAATCCACCCCAGAGAAAGAACACAGCGACTAACATTTGCTAAAAATCTCGGTAATTGTTGCTGTGCTCTACTTTGTAATCTTTCAGTCAACTTAATAATTGGCACTGTCTGAAGAAGTAAAGGGCTTCTACACATTTAGTATTTATAGTACATATATACTATATGTACATATATACTATAGTACATATATACTATATGTTGTCTCCCTTCAAGAGACAACACGTACCAGAGTATACTGAAAAAACTTTGTGAAAAATATAAATATTAGAATATATTTTTTAATTTAATAAGCCTGATAATTATCACAAATTGTTATGGGGCTGGGTGATGATGAACAGGATGGTGGAAAATCTGAATTTCAACAATGGAATAAACTTTGAAAAACGACAAGTTCTTGGGCACTAAAAGTGTCCAGCAGAGAATTCAAGGTCAAGAGCACTGCGTGGAACTAGGTGACACTTACTTAGGGTTGTGTTTAAGATTCTGTGTGAGAAAAGACTGGGAGGAAATACATGAGAATATTTGTGAATACTCTCTTTAATGAGCTAAGTATGCCTTTTTTCATTCCACTTCACCAAATACCACGTTTTCCTTTTATAATCATTTTTTTAAAAGTTCTTGCTCAAAGAATCTATATAAAGAGTGGTGATATCATTCATTGTCCAAACATGCATTTTAAGGGAAAAAAGGGACATCATTGATAATTATGCTAAGACAATAGGTATAAACTGGGACCACCCTTGATGAACCAGGACGTATGGCCGCGCCCCCTATATCTCCTTGTTTATATTAATACTCTGTCACGACTGGTGAAATCTGGAGAATCAACAAAGCTACACATGTCCGACTAATTCTTTTCTAGAATTGTTTGAGTACAATTAATTAATTTTGGGGCAGGGGTACCATTTTTTCATCCTATATCCTCACTGAACATTTTCAAAAGCACGGTCTATCTTTGTTTCAGTGAATCACAGAAAATTAAATACAGCTGCCTTCACGTTTACATAAAGGAGAACAAAAAGATTTTTAAAAAATGACAGGAAACAATTTCTAGTGTGTGTGTGTATGCATGTAAATGATAATACTCATTCCATAATCCAGGTAAAGCAAATCCAGAATATGAAGGTCAAAGAAGACATAGGGAAAACAGAACAAAGAAACCATCGCGTCCTGAAAGCACAGACATTCTGCTCTGCGGGCAGCTGCACTGGTAGGAGACTGGTGGGCGGGGAGGGGCATGGCCGCATAACAGTGTCCACTGATAACTTCAAGTGGGGATATTCTATTCCCCTGGGCTGAAAGACTCATTATTAAAAAAAAAAAAAAAAAAAAGACACGGTAAAGAGTTGTTTTTTTTTTTTTTGTTCTGGACCCATTTGGTTAAATACTGTATTACATGTAAGTACAACTTATCTCAAAATTAATTTGTGACTAGTTTTTCCATCACTGCTCCAAAAAAATTCAATAAAGGTAACTTCTATACAGAAAAGTACTCTTAAAAGACTGAACAACTCTTTTCTTTTTAAAATAAGATTTTATTTATTTTTTAGAGAGAAGGGAAGGGAGGGAAAGAGAGAGAGAAATGTCAATGTGTGGTTGCCTCTTGTGCACCCCCAACTGGGGATCTGTCCCACGATCCAGGCCTGTGCCCTGACTGGGAATCGAACCTGTGACCCTTTGGTTTGCAGGCCCGTGCTCAATTCACTGAGCTACACCAGCCAAGACTGACTGAATAACTAAACAATAGGACCACATATGTTTTCTTTTCTCAAAGGGCTCCTTTCAAGACATGGTGTAATTTTATAATCAACCCCAAACGTATTAGACATGAGAAACAAAACTTCCTTTAGAAAAAGAAAAGCACTGGTTAACTTTATCTAAGGTGGATTCCAGGAGAGGTGTCAAGGTTTGACTCCAACACAGATCTCTATTACCAAGCCTCAGAGCAGTGCCAGAGGAACCCACTCCAGCAAAGAACTTTAGGAGACCACAGTTGGGAAGTACGAGGATGAAGACAGGTTTTGTACCAGTCCTTGAGGGCAGACTGAAGACAGCCCCGAGTTCTGTGCTCTGTTTTAAAACACGCACCAGTCAGTAATAGTCTGCCTGCCCTTGGCCACCCCAGAAAAACGGGCAGCGAGGACGCAGCATCTGCTGACAGACGCGGCATATGCTTTTCGATTCCCCAAACAGAACAGGAAGGCTCGTGTCATTTAAAAATGAAAGGTACAAGAGAGAAGCCGGGTAAATTGAATCGGGTAAATTTAAAAATCCTTGAAGTCAATGAAAGAACCCTCCAGAAAGATCAATTTCCTTTGCTTCAAAGAATTCAATCAAATCATTTTGTTGGTAAGGAGCAAGTCCTCAATGCCTGATGAATACACTGGGCGTGTCAGTTGTTCGAGTCTCGTTAAGGACACTGTAAGTACATATACTTAAAAACCGAAAACATTTAAACTGCTACTTTAGATAAACAGTGTAGTCAACAATCTTCACATAATCATTTTATATTCATGTGCTTCTCATCTCTAAAGCAGTCACTTTTTTCACTTTGTATCTAAAAAGGTCACAAAAACAAAAGTAAACTATATGAAAGAAATAGAAATCCACTGTGAGAAAAATCACAAACATAAATAGTTTTACTGGTTACAGTCTGAATCTATTTCACTTTAAAAATACTTACCAAGTAAGTGCTGGAGAAAGTTCTGTATAGGCATAGTAATCGTTTTTTGTTTTAACTGAAAACTGGAAGCTTAGTGTAATTACCTCTTTAATATTAAAGAATAGTTATTATGGTCAGAATTAAACACTTTTAGTGTTGATGGATTCTATAAAGGAAGGGAATAATGATCAGGAGCATTAGAACAGTACATACATTTGTATTAGTACAGACGGGGACAGCCAGCATATATAATTCTGTAGATATGTGTTATTAATTACCAAAGATTGCTGAATTTGGAATAAGAAGTTAGATAGCAATAAACACTATGTTAAAAAAAAGCAAATAACTGAGATTTAATCATAGCCAAGGGCTATCTTTAAAGTTCAGTAGAGCCGAGCAGATGAAAATTAATTAAAAAACTGGTCTTACCTAAAGACACAAATAGAACTGAACAAGGAAGGTAAAAATTTATAAGCTTGGCCACAGCTGACTGTGTCTGTGGGGTGTATTTAACTTGCTGAGGAGGAAGAAAACTTTCAAATATAACTTTCCAAAATTGATTTCATCAAATCTTTTCTTAAAATGCCATTGTAAAACTTTGCCATTTGCTCATTCCTAAAAACACTACTGCTTATAAAAAATTCTAAATCATACAGATTGTGACATTAATAGTAAATTGTTAAGGAAAAGTTTAAATTAAAAATTTCAGTTCTTATGTATAACACATTTAGGAGACAATACACATATCAAACGGCACACTTTCATCTTTATGCAAAAAAAAATCCAAAACCCACCCACTGTCCTTGTGATTGAAGTGACTATATCTGCAGCTTGCCTACCTGCGTTTCACTTAAAGGAGGAAATCAGTTCACAGCGAAGTCCTGAGTCACTATATTCCCTGTATTTAAGCCTTGTTAAAATTCATTCAAAAGAGAAAGCAAGTCAACTGAATGACTGCAACATTACATTCATTCCTAAGTACATCATTTCCAAGTTCAATTTTTAAAAGCTGAATTGTTCTGAGAATTCAGAATAGCATTCTCAGAGTTTTACTTTCTCCAGTTTTCTCCTCCGTTCATGCAAGAAGCCTACTGAAGTCCATTGAAGGACTGGTGTCTCCAGTGTCCTGTCTTCCTGACCCCCACACTCGCCCCCAAACCTCTCTCACGTCTTCCCCATCACTCTCCCAATTTAAGTATTAAGATAAAGTTTGGCCACGTGGCAGCTTATTTTTAGAGATAATCTAATACATGCTAGAGAGTTGGGAATACTTTTTGCAGGCTTGAAAAACAGCTGCAGTTTCCTGCTTACTGTTTAAAATAAAACAAAACTAAAAAGAAACCACGCACACTTAATACCGAAATGGAGCTTACCTTAGAGCCGCGTTCATTAAAGATTATTTCTACATCTAGGATTTTGCCAAACTGCTGCAGAGACAAAAACAAAACATTTGTTTATTGTCAGCTTTCTATGCACATATTTTACTTTCTTCTACAAAAGAAACCACGCTCTCTCTCCCCTTTAAACCACCCATTTAGTGTCCACGTTCTATTCGTTGGTGAAGTCCCGATGCCAGTTTCGGAGTCTTCCTCATCACTGAGCGGATGATTTCTCCGTTTCCACTCCTTCTCCAGCTCACCTGCCCGCGCGCCACCCACCTCTTCGCGGCGGACGCGTCTTCAGAACCGATGCCCACAGTCCCCCGCTGCTTCTCACGGGCCAGAACCAGGGGTTTTCCCACAATGTTTCTACTGTTTTAAATGGGTCGGTTTTAAGAAGTAAATCCGAAGTAGAAAGATTTGAATGCTGTTTTGATTCCCCCCTTTCCCTTTAATTTATGAAAGTAAATCACGTTCATTGTAAAATTAGAAAACACAGATAAATACAAAGGCAAGGGGGAGCAGAAAGGGAGTACCACCTGCAACCCCACCACCTCAGTTCCGGTCCACAGCCTCCTGGGCTTTCCCTTCGGCATGTATTGTTAAGGAAATATTTCCACATATTACTCTCATTTTTTAAAATTCAATATACTATGAACAACTTTCCCAGTCAATAAATGTGTCTATTATTTCTATAGGTTACATGTTAATTTTCCATTACGCTTAAACATTCATGGACATTACGTATGATCCCATTTATCTGCCACTTTAATTTTTCTGCAGTGAACATCATCAAGAATATCGTAAGTAGAAACTTTGTTTTGTAATTAGTTAAATATTTTCACATTTGGAAAAATCAAACAATGCTAAAACCATAACCCGTGAGTAACTCTAGGTTGGGTAGCTGGTGCCGACAGGAGGGACACACAGAAAACTGGTCACTTGGAGAAGATGCGTACACAGTGGCAAGACGGTCTTAGTCGATACGCACACAGGCTGCATCGAAGGGATGTGTGGTAGCTCTCGCGATACCTTTTAGCTCACACTTCTCCGTCAGTACTAAACTCATATATGCTGCACCCAGGTACCTATTTCACTTAGATTTCAAACCAGACTCTGGGGAATGTACAGAAACTAAAAAATGAAAAGAGCAAAACAGAAATTGTGCTCTCTCTCTGGGCTAACACGTTACTATCGTTATTAAACACATGTATTAAGAGCCCACGTTTTCTAGAGTAAGGCTTCTGGGCTTGCTTCCTGTTTCATCATTTAATGGAAAGTTATAAAAGTCAAAGAAAGAGGAAAATGTCTTATTTTAGGTAGAAGACCATTTAATTTTTTTCCTATACCTATCCGATATTATATGGTATTTGAGAATTTGTTTCCTTTTATGTTTTCTAATGCATCCTTCTAGAGTAAGGACTGCCTTCCTTGTGTGGTTAAAAAAATTGAGGCTGAAAGAAGCTACTCATCATTTACAGAGCTAATAAAAATCGAGCGCGGAATCCCTGCTCTTTACCAATGCAACTGTCCTCAGTAACAGGGACTAACTACGTGGAAGAAGGCAGAGCAAGCAGGCACCCTGTGCGAGGAGATTTCATTTTTGCAGTTAATGCCTCGTGGGAAAGGGTATAATGCATTTCAAGAGACCACTGGTAAGAGGCCCAGGCAGAGTCTCAAGGGGCAGCACACCTCTGACCCGCGAACGCACTCCTTTTCACGGAGCTCCGGAAACTGAGGTGCCACGTTACCTCTGACAACTCAGTAAAGAACCTCATAGCTCCTACTCCCGGGAAGCTGCTTCTTAAATGCAACCTAAATTCTTTATGCTGCCCTTTGCATCTCCTGCCGCTCTCTTTTCTGTAGAGATGAGACCAGCTGGTTGCCACTGTCTATGTAAAGGCTCTCCAAGTTCTTTGAGAACATCCTTAAACCCCCACCCTGGCCTTGCCTTCTGGGTGCAGCACACATCAGGTAACAGCTGAGTGACAGAGCTTTGCCCCAGGGTCCTGTCACCATGAAGTGGCCAACTAAGACTTAAGGAACAGGATTTGCTTTTCTGACAAAGCACCAGGCTGTGATACTAATAAAATTTTTTTAAAAGCCCAACTATCTCTTTGTCCTAGTTTGAGGTAAGAACTTGCTCAAATTATAACAGGCAACAACACACAGCCCAGGAGCAAGTTAGGTTCTCGGCAGTCACCCCCTTTTCCAACAATGGAAATCTGTGCTGTTGCACTGTGTGTCTCGGGGCAGTGATCTCAGGAACAACTGAACACCTGGGAGAACACATCGGAGGCAGCAAACTGACCCCTGTACCTGATTTTAGATACTGGTCTTGACATTGTTGAGCTGTAAGCAAGGAGATAAAAACAAAACACAGGTACTACCTGCTGTCGCACACATTCATTTAATGTGTAACACTCTGAAAGGCAGGGTGTTTGCCCTGATTTTAGCACTGAAAGTCTCACGTCCCAAGCAAACAGTCACTTTATTTATATGAGAATTTGCAAGGCTGACGGCTAGTAGACAGGTGATAGGAAAGGTTTCTGGTAAAAATATTGATTTACCCCAGGATCTTTCTCAATCCATTTGTAGTTTTATCCTAAAGTACGAATGTCTAATAATACTCCTGGTGGATGAGATTATATTTTAATTGTAAACTCACAAAAGGACTTCCGAGACTTACCCCGAACATCTGCCGGAGGTCAGGGTCCCGGAAGCGGAAAGGGATATTGGAGACGTGCAGCCGCTTAGGGGTGGATTTACTCTCTGAATTCTCGCTGCTTTGCGTCTGTGACTGTTGGCCGTCTGTCTGCGCTCCGCCTTCCGTCTGCTAAGAGAAGAAACACACAGTAAACAAAAAATGAATACAGCTACTTCACAAGACTTTATGTACAACGAAGTCCTAGCCACCCCAATTGTTCTCAAACAGTGTCTTTAAGCAAAAATTAGCTGTCCCTTCTCTGAGGGGGAAAAAAAGATGCTGTGTTCAAAATGCTATAGTTTGCAAATAAAACTTAGGTCTTCTGAGCACCCACAGTACATTAAGCAAGGTGGGAGAGACAGAAACTCTAAAGGACTCGCCCAGGGTCACGTGGGGATACATCGGAATAACTGAGGACATAAAAATAGCACCATTACTCTTACATTCTTAGTAGCCCTTTCTACTAGTTTTGAGATGTTCCTATTTTGAAAATGAGTCTGTTTGTATTAGTTGTGAAGATCAATGCATTTTTGGTCTATCATTTCAGGAAATAAGGGAGTATTTTTGTATTTTATTCCCTCTATTAGTTCCAGAGTTTATGACTACTGGGTTCTCAAAGCATTATGATTTAGGAAAAGGAGACACTGGTGACAAAGGCCACTTCACTTCCGAACCGAGGAGGCTTCTCACTCTGAAAGCCGTCTGTACTCGCCTGCGAAATCCACACAAGCCCAGCTACCTTTAGCACCGAAGCCGACCTTCGCAGCCCAGAGCAAAGCTTTGTTGAGAAAATCGGCAAGGCTTTAAGGGAGCCTGACTAATCCACTGCTCACATAAATGACAGATCTGTGTACATCTATAGTGAAAGTGTGTGAGTGTGAGTGTGTATTTTTAATCGTGAATCTCTCCTGCAGCATCCCAGGCCTGCGGTTCATCCAATCTCTTTCCCAATAAATCCTCGACAGAGTTGCTATGTTGAGAAAAACTTTTGACATATATCTTACAGGTATGGTACATCCTAAGCATTCAAAAAACATTTACTTTGAAGCATTTGCCTGGCAATTTCAGAACCTTATGTTTGTATTATTTACTGTGGTGTGCACGCCAAACCCGACGGCTTGCTGAGCTAATTAAAACCAACCACCTTTTAAAACGCGAGTGGAACCTGCTGTTCTTATTATCTCAGTCGGCTTGGAACTGAGTCCCCCACAGAGTCTTCCTGGTGACACAGAACAAATGCCCTCCCGGTGACCCAATGTGCCAACTAAAGGAAACTGTAAATCAGAGATACTTTTGGTTCGGAAGATGTTAACAATCATCATGAAGTCTGAGACTTTAAAATACAGAGGATAAGCAGGAATAAACGCCGAATGAGTACCAGCTTTTCAAATGTCAAGCTGAGTGACAGCAGCTTTTCTGTCATTCCATTGAGGCCCTGCAGGTGGCTTAAATGTGCGATGATTCATGCGACACAAAAATAGCAGAACAGGGGAGAGCCACGAAGCCATGTTCTGCGAAAGTGTAAGGCTTTCTATCATCCATCTGGGCACAACGCAGACCAAACAAAACAAATGCCACCCAAAGAAGAAACTCACTAAGTTACTATAACAGAAAATGGACACCAAAGCAACAAGCATGAGCACTAGTTGTGACGAGTGCTAGTCAGTCACCGGCCCACGGGCCTCTGACACCTCACAGCTGGGTTGCCTAAACCTTGCTTCACGCCGACTTGAAAAGCAGCAGCTCAGGTCTGCAGGAGGCCAGGGTATCACCGCAGAGAAGTTAAAGAGACCGATTCTAGCGCCAAACCAGTTTCATATATAATTTACAATGGGTGGGCAAAAGGAGGCGTACAGTCATTAGGGAGGCAAATAACACAGCAATTAATAAAGAAACTGTTCTGCGAACTCACAACTGTCAACCCTCGTTTGCCCGCCTGTACCTAGCCCCTGCAGGATAAACGAAAGCGAACGAGCACCGAGAAGCATGCTATGCTGCCCAAGCCCCTTAGATGTTGCCAATGAGAGATTTTTTACAAACCTGATGACACAATTTAAGAAAAGGTTAGAAGCCAGACTGGCTCATTTTCCGGCACTGTAGTGAACACCTACATTTTTAAAAAGTAGGAAATCTTCAGTTCTAGGAAGATTGGCAAGTGAAAAAAATGAATTATCATTTCCAAAATTCTCAAGCTTTCTGACTTAATAAATTCTTTTCAATGGAAGCTTAACATATATAATAGATACAAATGCACAAATCATAAGCAAACAGATGAATGAATTTTCACAAAGGAAGTACATCCACAAAACCACCAAATCAGACCAAGTGATGCTATTGCTCCAGAAGCACCTCTGGGCTCCACTCCAGTCACCATGCCCCGCCAAGGGCCACCCCAACATCTGACTCCATAAATGAGTGTTGCCACTTTTGAACTTAGAAAAGGGGGGAGGGACCCATTCCATATGTACTCTTTTCTGTCTGCCTTCTTTTATACATTATATTTGTGTAATTCACATACACTGTTATAACTGGTCCACTCTTTGTCCATTTTATAAACGTACAGAATTTACACAACTGCTTCCAGATTTGGCTCTAAAGTTCTCTGTTACACTCTTTGGGTGCACACGAGCACGCAGTTTGTTGGGTGTGCATGGGTCCAGGAGTGGATTTGCTGGGTTAAGGATATATGTAAGTTCAGCCATAATAGATACTGTCAGCTTTTCAAAGTGGCTGTACTAACTTATACTCAACTGTGTATGAGTTCTAGTTGCTCTTAGTATTGGCATTCTCATTTTTTAAAAAAGATTTACTTATTTATTCTTAGAGAGAGGGAAAGAGAGGGAGTAAAAGAAAGACCGATTGGTTGCCCCTTGTATGCACCCGTCCGGGGACCAGACCAGCAACCCAAGCACGTGCCTGACGGGGAACTGCAACAGCGGCCTTCTGCGACGTGGGACATCGCCCAAGCACCTGGGCCCCACCGGTCGGGGCACCATTTCCATTTTAGCTGTTCTGGTGGAAGGTTGTGGCATCGTACTGTGGCTTCGCTATGCTTTCTTCTCTCTAAAACTATGATTTTTTCTTCTTTCCACTTACAGAATTTTGTTGAAAAATGGGAATTCTTGGTAAAATAGTAACTATTTCTTGAGTGCATACTATAGGACAGACCCTTCTCTAAGCCTTTTAATAACAATTAATATTTAAATAGTGTTTACTATTTGCCAACAATGGTCTACTTTTATTTATTTTAATAAATGTAATTCTTTGAACAGCCCTAACAGTAGGTCCTTTTTCCCCCCCTTAAACTTGAGAACATAGTAGGTATTATTTTTTTACCCTACTTTTCAGATGAGGAGTCTGAGGAATAGAAAAATTGCCTGAGTAATTACAGGAGCAGGCATTTGGCCACAGGCAGTCTGGCTCCAGAGCACGTGTGTGTTATACTGCACTTTCAATGTATTGTATTTTAAAGCTCTCACAATAACCTATGAGGCAGGTACTATTATTATCCCCAAATGACAGAGGCACAGAGAACTTAAGTTAGTTGCCCAACCAGCGTCACATGTTAAGTGGCAGAGGAGGAATTCCAAAGCAGGCAGCCCAGTGTCACGTGCTGACCCACCTCCCTCTCACGCGTTCCCGGGACACTCATCTGGAGGGGCAAGACTTCTCCTTGGTGGAGGTGGGCATGGGGGCGAGGGACAAGAAAAGCTCCACAAGAGGTGACATGTATTCTACACCTCGAGAGAAGAGGAGCAGGTCAGGCCACAAAGGGGAGGGAAAGCGAGGGGCAGGGTCACCCACCAGGCACACGACACTCACAAAGGAGCGAAGCCAGAGAACTGCGGAACATGCTCAGGGTGAACCGTAGATTTCTGCACTGAGTGAGCTCAGGACTGGGAAATATACATTGAATACTGAATGTAATTAAAGGACCTATTTCCCATTTGATATTCCCAACTTTAAGTTTACCTTAATATAGACTAATTACTGAAACAGACAAACCACTAAGAAAAGTAAAAAAGGTTTTAGGCTCTGTATTTGTGAAAAGTGGAGAGTTAAGCTGTTTTGAGAAAAATCTCACTTGGTATAGCACTGGTTTGCTTTGTTTTCTATTGTTAGCTGCTGAGCAGCTTCACTGACTGTATAAACAACCTCTGAAGGTTCTGTTCTTCCCTTCTGTGGTCATTTTCTGACCTAGTTTATTCTCTGGGCAGGGGATGAAACAGAAGAGGCTGGAGTCTGTGGACTGAGAGTTTACAGTGAGGCCTGACAGCCGCAGTGCTGGACGCGGCCCGGTGATGAAGTCCGAACGCCCACTCTTCAAACAACGCGGCCTCCCCAGCGAGGTCCAGCTCTGTGCGCACTGCAGAGGGGCCCAGGGCTTTTTACACTGCAGAGCACGTCAGATTTTTCAGTCTCAACAACTCATTCTAGAAATGAGGGCTACAAATATTTTGTTTTGGTAAACGCAAACTTTAAAAATCCTTACAACTGGGAAATGGATTAATTTTTTCTGACTTCTCTACAAAACATAAAAACATTTTAACTATGCACTGTGAATAAATGTTCTGTTATGGACTAAAAGAGAACTCTGGGCAATACAAGGTGAAGTATCGCCTTCCAAGTCGCTATCATAAAACCTCATACATAATCTGAGATACTAAGGAGTATCCTGATTAATTCAGGAATACTGTTTTGATTCATGAATGATCCATTTTCTTCAACATTTAATTTTCCTGTTTTCTGGGATGCTGTCATTCCTTATTTTTTCACCTCTATAAGGCTAAAGGGAAAAAGAGAAAATCCAATTTAGCATATTAAATTTCTAGGGAATCTGATTTATGCCTGAAACATCTATTAAACCAACCCGCTTTAATGACAGCTTGGGTTTAAACAATTCCTCTAGAATTCTGAAGGCAACATTCACCGGTCGCCCAGCTGCCGGTGTTGCCATTGAGAAGCCCACAGGCACATTGCCGGGACTTCTGCCTTCTTGTGCGACTCCCCCGTTCTCCCTGGGTGTAGACTGCCCGAACACGCCCAGTGGGTGAAAATCCCAGTGATACGCCTCACTGTGGGTTCCTTCCACTTTGATCTATTTTGCTGGGGAGTCTGTGTTCTCATAA